AGGTACGCAGGTGCTGCTATGTCAAGGTCACTGTTGAAGGGCTGGAAAGGAATTCTCCTGCATTGGCAGGTTTGCCTTTCCGGTAGCAAAACACCACAATTTTGGCGGTATCAGGCCTTGGGCGGAATCCTTCAGTCTATCTTCCCTGAATGGGGGTGGGGGGTGTAGCCCCCCTTCTCTTTGTGTCGGCGATCCCAGGGTTCCCCGTTAAAGGGGTTGTTTTGAGGGGAGGCTTTGGCTGTACGCCTAGAGGTTGTCCTTGCTCTCCCCTGTGATGGCGGCATAACGGGGGCAGGCTCTCTCTGCTTGAACATATGTTCTCCAGAGCCAGCCCACCCCATCCCACACACTCTGGATAACCCTGATGTTCCCCAGATCCCCGGCGGGGGACTGGGAGGGATAAACACCCAATGCCTGAGCCAAGGTCTACCCACATCTGAAACATAATAAAGTTGTGGCCAATTTTTAATCCCATAGCACGTTGTCTTGAGCCGTTATTCTACTTGGGGGTCGCCCAGGGTTTGGGGGACTCCGCCTGTCCATGCAAAAGGTAGAAAACAGAGATGCCACAACAACAAAAACAAGTAAAATGAGATTATAAAAACAGACTGAAAGTAGGAATTCAGTAATGAAAGGGTCTGATCTTAAAGGTTTGGGGGTGGGGGTGGTGAGGGGAGCCCAGAACTAAGCAAAAAGATATACAGTCTTTGCAAGATGTTTGAGGGAAGTGCTTCATGTATGACAGAGAGAAAGACATTCCGGAGTTCAGAGGCAATGGAGGTATTCTGTAGGGCGCAGTGTCATGGGTAGCATTTCTCCAGATGATAACAAACTATTGTATCAGTCTCTACAGAGGCAGGTGGTCCCTCAGGTAACCTGGTCCCAAGTTGTTCAGGGCTTTAGATGTTAACAAGAACATGGCCCAGTAGCTGGTGGGCAGCCAGTGAAAAATGGTGCTCCACTCAGCATCCCAGAATGGCTGATAAGTAGTGTCTGATCCCTGTTTTTAAAAACACAAAACACAGCTGTTACCCAGAGCTGACTCACGCCTTATGGAAAACACACACGTTCCTGATTAGAGTGTAGAAATAACAAGAAATATGGCACTCTTTACATGAGCATAAAGGTAAAGGACCCCTGACAGTTAAGTCCAGTCGTGAACGACTCTGGGGTTGCAGTGCTCATCTCGCTTTACTCGCCGAGGGAGCCGACATTTGTCCGCAGACAGTTTTTCCGGGTCATGTGGCCAGCATGCCTAAGCCGCTTCTGATGAAACCAGAGCAGCACACAGAAACGCCATTTACCTTCCCGCCGGAGCGGTACCTATTTATCTACTTGCACTTTGACGTGCTTTCGAACTGCTAGGTTGGCAGGAGCTGGGACTGAGCAACGGGAGCTCACCCCGTTGCGGGGATTCGGACCGCCGACCTTCTAATCGGCAAGCCCTAGGCTCGGTGATTTAATCCACAGTGCCACCCGCATCCCACTTACATGAGCATAGCAAGAGATTAATTCTGGGTGGTTTACCAGGTAAACAAGTGAAGTGAAGCCCTATTGTGCAATATATATTGTGACTGGAAGGAAGGTAAGTCTAAAACGTAAAGTCCCTCTGCAGGTATAGAAAATCATATTTCTCTGGTTGTAGATTCTGCCCTTTGGGGCTTTGGAGCCAGTTTCCAGTTTTATGAGCCACTTTGGGACATGATTCCAGAGGCACAAAGTTACTCTTTCAGGGGAGGAGAGATCTGATGCAGGGCTTGTAGATGTGCTATCTGCTTCTAGAAATTTATTTTCAGAATGAAAGGTATTTGCCTCCAATCTGCTGTTTGTATACAAAGCAAATATTGCCGAGACACTCACAGGCTGTCTTATCTAAAGCAAACAAAACCCTGTAGCTCTGCATCTGGTATGTCTCACTGCTTGGGGAAATGCAGAATGCACGTGACAATATTACCCAAACCTCCATGTTAAGCGGCTTTGCGAACTATTGAAACTGTTAAGATAACTCTACTAGTAAACAAAACTTGCCAAATGAATAGACCAAAAGTACCATTTGTTGGCACTGTAAGCAACATGAGTTGGTACTATACAAAGCACTATGAAAGCATGAGTGCTGTTGCACTCATATACTGTCTGTGAGCTTCTCATGACCACCTGGTTGGCCACTATGGGAACAGAATGCTGGACCAGATAGGCCTTTGGTCTGATCCAGGGGTCCCCAAACTAAGGCCCGTGGATAAGGCCCAAGGGACTCGTTTATCCGGCCCGTAGCGACCCCCGCCGCCCACTTTTACCGGTGCGGCGCTGTGTGGCTGCCCACTTCTGGGTTGGAGGAGCATCGGAAATAGCTTGTGTGCATGTGCAAGTGTTATTTGCGCATGCACATTATTTCCGGTGCACATCCGGGTCTGAGGAGGCCTGTGCACATGCACACAAGCTATTTCCAGTGCTTCTCCGACCTGGAAGTGTGCCAGAAATAGTGTGTGCGCACGCGTATGGGCACGCGCTCGCCTGCCCTCTGGCCCGCCGCGCAATTGGCACTGGAGACACCGGCCCGAGGCGCGGTAAGTTTGCTGACCCCTGGCACTGATCCATCAGGTTTTCTTATTTTCTTCAAATAAGGGTGGTGAGCCCATTCAGACAGCCTGTTCTCAGACACTTGGTGGAACCTGACGTGTCCTGAATGCTCTGGGGCATTTTCATAGAATCATAGAATCATAGAGTTGGAAGAGACCACAAGGACCATCGAGTCCAACCCCCTGCCAAGCAGGAAACACCATCAGAGCACTCCTGACATATGGTTGTCAAGCCTCTGCTTAAAGACCTCCAAAGAAGGAGACTCCACCACACTCCTTGGCAGCAAATTCCACTGTCGAACAGCTCTTACTGTCAGGAAGTTCTTCCTAATGTTTAGGTGGAACCTTCTTTCTTGTAGTTTGGATCCATTGCTCCGTGTCCGCTTCTCTGGAGCAGCAGAAAACAACCTTTCTCCCTCCTCTATGTGACATCCTTTTATATATTTGAACATGGCTATCATATCATATCATATCATATCATACCTCCTCTTCTCCAGGCTAAACATGCCCAGCTCCCTTAGCCGTTCCTCATAAGGCATCGTTTCCAGGCCTTTGACCATTTTGGTTGCCCTCCTCTGGACACGTTCCAGTTTGTCAGTGTCCTTCTTGAACTGTGGTGCCCAGAACTGGACACAGTACTCCAGGTGAGGTCTGACCAGAGCAGAATACAGTGGCACTATTACTTCCCTTGATCTAGATGCTACACTCCTATTGATGAGGCCCAGAATTGCATTGGCTTTTTAGCTGCCGCGTCACACTGTTGGCTCATGTCAAGTTTGTGGTCAACCAAGACTCCTAGATCCTTTTCACATGTACTGCTCTCAAGCCAGGTGTCACCCATCTTGTATTTGTGCCTCTCATTTTTTTTGCCCAAGTGCAATACTTTACATTTCTCCCTGTTAAAATTCATCTTGTTTGTTTTGGCCCAGTTCTCTAATCTGTCAAGGTCGTTTTGAAGTGTGATCCTGTCCTCTGGGGTGTTAGCCACCCCTCCCAGTTTGGTGTCATCTGCAAATTTGATCAGGATGCCCTTGAGTCCATCATCCAAGTCGTTGATAAAGATGTTGAATAAGACCGGGCCCAAGACAGAACCCTGTGGCACCCCACTAGTCACTCTTCTAGTCACTCTTCCAGTGAAGAAATTTGACAATCTTGTTGACAATCCCCTGGCCTTGCTATAGAAAGATAAAACAGGCAGGTGACATGACCCAAGCATCCTCTCCAGCACTGGCCAAACTATGAAGCAAGCTGGACAGAGTCTAGAGTGTGAAGTGGTCTCGCACCAAAACTAACAGAACACTGGTTAACAAATACCTCTGAGTCCACTATGTGGCAATGTGAGCTGTGAAGAAGGCTCGCCTTGCAACTTGTGTTACATCTTCTAGTAGAAGGCTGGCAGAATTATTTTGGTAGGTCTGGAGGTCACAGACTCCTTCAGGGGACGGGCAGGTGGGGTCCCTCTGGAACAACAGGGGACCTACCCTGACCAACTGGCTACACGCTTTGAGGATAAACTGCTTGCTTTTGGAGTGACCTTGACTCTGAAGCTGCTGCAGTTGCGGATGAAGTAACCAACGCCAGAGCCAGTGATGTGTTGTGGGATCTGTTTTGACTTCTGCAGTCAGCTGATGTGGACAAGGTGTACTAATTTAAGATTGAAAACATGGGAAATCCAAATCGATAGATTCACTCATCCCATAGATCGATCGATCGATAATTTCAATACAGAATTATTCAAGTATTAAGGTCTGGGTGGACTTCATGAGAACCCTCTGCTTGACCCCAAATGTTTATTTAGTTTTATGGTTACAAATCATGTTACAGCTCCATCCTGTGTATCTGGAGTAAACAAGAAGAGATACCATCAGGATCTGGAGGCAGCAAAGAGGCTGTAGGAACAATGACCTCTCATCCTGAGCTGGCCAAGCCCTGCAGGGGTTTTTCCATTGTGATCTTAAGATAGAGGAGAGCCAAGGGCTCTTATATAAACACAAAACTCTCCTGTTCCCCACTCAGACTACTTGAATGAGTTTAAACCTGACTGGACACTGCCTACGTCAAAGGACACGGTTTTTCATTCACCTGAAAATTACTTACACATTGTGATTTATCTGGCTAGGGCTTATTGCCCAAGATTAATTTCTCCCTTGCACCTGTTCCTTTTTGGCCTTTTCGGTAGCTGCTCTTCTGATGCAATAAATAACATTTGGACCAAGTCTTAAGGACACCACATTATGTTAGAGAAGGGGGAATGAAGCAAAATGTTGTCAGTGGCGTCTTCCTGTTCAGTATCTTAGTGATGCCTTCTTCCAGGATATACCATTCCGGGGCCCTCCAGACTTCACTTTTATTCATAATTATTTGTGCTCATGACAGTATTGGGGCGGTTTACACACAATCCTGTTTGCACCTATAGATTCATTTCATTTTATAGCTTCATTTCCAATCAGTGTGGGTCCCATGACTTCCTGCTGAAACTTCCTGCCACAAGTGTTCTGGGGTTTTTTCTGTCCTGCTTTTCTTGCAAGAGTGCCCCTCCAGATGGCAATAATGCAATAACACTGTGGATCTGGAGATCATGGTTCATTGGGGTGGGGGTGAGAGAGGGGGGAATTACCCCCTTGTATGTATGTATGTATGTATGACTTCTACAAATCCTGGTGTTCCTCCAAAGCCTAAATATACCTTCATATTCTGCATGAGTACTGCCGTGTTGGCTATGTAAGGGTTTATGCTTAAAAGAGGAACACTTTATATGATCCCACACTTGTCAATATAGTTTTCCTCTAGAACCATTGCTTCTGAGGGATTGAATCCAGAAAAAAACAAGGACCATGAACCCAAGAGGTACTTAACATGGGTCCTAAAGCAACATGCCCTGTGGGGATTTTGGATTCCCTCATCACAATTTGCTTTTGAAAGCTCCCCACGTCCCAAAGAAATTTTCCGTGGGGCCTGGGGGCTATAGTTGAAGAAACCAGACTAGATCAACCTTCAGGTTCTTGGGATCCTAGTCCATGCTGCTCACTTAATCTTTTAAAAAACACAAAAACACCACCCTAAATTCTTTTATTATCTGCAAACGTGCAAGACTGCACTCCTTCTGTAGGAACTATGAGACAGAGGGGGGTGGGTGGGAGAGGGCCAGGAAAAGGTCACTGGAACTATTAATAGTCTGGAGCCCTTTCCTTAAGAAGAAAGGCTAAAAGCACCTGGTTACTGACAGCTGAAATGCTTAATGTTTTCCCACTCCATTAAAAATGAAGACTCATCAACTGTACTTGTAAAGAGCAATTAGACAGTGGAGCCAATGCCTCAGAGGGGTGGTGGGCTCTGCCCTCAATGGAGGTCTTCAAGCATTGGTTGGAGTGTCATCTGCTGGGGATGCTTTTAGTAGACTAGGAGGATGAGGGCTCAGTGGTAGGGAATGACTATTGATCAGTGAGGATTAGGGCTCCTCACTTAGTCTCTCAGCCTTACCCACCTCGCAGGGTTGTAGTGAAGATAAAATGGGGGAAAGGAGAACCACGTTCACCACTTCAAGCTCTTCAGAGAATATAAATATAATAATAAATATGGAAATTGGATGGAACAGACTTATGAAGGCATGGAAAACCGATGTGGAACCCCTTCTTCCAAATGCTTTTCACATATTACTCTTACCCCACCAGGCAGTTGAGCAACACTTTGATAATGCTACCTACCCCCTTCTCCAAAGGACCCCTTCCCACCTCCACCCCTGAGCCCCTGTTCTTCCCATCCAGCTCTTGCATTGAGGCAGTTTGTTTCACCTTCTGAATCCAAGTTCCCCAACCTGGTGCCCTCCAGGAGATTGTCTCCTATCAGCCCCAACCAGCATGGCCAATGGTGCAGGGCCGTTGGGAGCTTGCAATCCAAAATATCTAGAGGGCACCAGGATGGGAAGGCTGTAATCTGAACAGCTGAGGGTGTTTTGAAACATGTATCATGAACACATCTGTAACTCAGCCAATGATTGAGAGTGGACTCATTTCAATCAACTCAAGGTGGGGCTAGAGATGCATTAAAAAGTGCAGTCCAGTGGGGCAAAGCCCCACCAATCCTCAACCTCCTGGCAGTCAGCCTCACCTACCCGCACCCTAACTTGCAACCACTCATGGGGTTGGCTCTGCCTTTCGTTGACTCTGGTGCCAGCTACTATTGGTCTTGCTGCCTTCTGCTCCACCAGTCCCAATGGGCATCAGCCACCACTGCCTGAGGCTCTGTGGGTGGGTGTTTACCCAATTTTGGTATAAACTAGCAAAAGCATGATTTCTTCCAAAATCTCTGCGCTCTAAACCTTTATTGGATACTGTTTCTCAATTTCTGACAACAACCAGGGCGATCTAAAACACGGATGGGGAACCTACAGCCCTCCAGATGTTGCTGGACTACAACTCCCATCATCCCTGACAGTGCTGAGGCTGATGGGAGTTGGAGTCCAATGGCATCTAGAAGGCTACAGGTTTCACAACCCCTGGCTCCGAAAGGTTATCTAAAGCTGCATCTATCTTCACAGGCACACAACCAATCAATCAAAGAGATTTGTATGATTGGGTAGGCCTTGACACTGATGCAACAGCATGCGATGTCTGCAAGTCTTTACATTACCAAATATTCCACGTAGCACACATTTATTGTAATAACTGGTTGTGGAACAAGCATTTGCATGCAGAGGCCACATACTGGGCAGTGCAAGCTCCTACAGTATAATTATTGTCATTTATAGCACCACCCGCGGTGTGCAATTATCACCCTGGAACAGACCTCATTGGCTCAGAGGCCAGGATGGAATGTTCTGCCAGCTGATCAGACTGTGAGGATAAACAGCTATTAGCTGCCCTTCACAGTGATTGACATATGTTTGCAAAAGGTCTGGAAAAACTTCAGTCAAGCGAACTTCTGAGGAAGAAACACACAGTGTGATTACGAAGATGGTTGGTGGATGGGTGTGGATCTGGGGCTCAAAACCCCCACAAACTCCCATCATTTCAGACTACAACGTTGCTTCTTGAACAACTGTGTGAGTTCAAAATTGAGACAGTCCCGGCACCAAGGGGAAATAATAAGTTTTTTGCTGCTTTGGCCCTTGCTGAAACATAAGGAAGAAAGTATACCAGACCTCCTTTGTTTTTCTTTTTTTAAAAAAAGTTTGAATCAACTGAATACACAACGTAAGCTACTTTAAAACATCTTTGTATTCAGAGGACTTTATTCAAAACAACAGTGCAGCATTGACTCAAATTAAAGTCATCAGTGGGTTCCTTGAAATATGGCAGGTTTGGCTGCTAACCATCCATCTGTGGAGTCTCATTCTCCACCTTATTTGCCAAATTCAACACCCCACCTACATCCCTCCTTCTAGTTTCAGAAGATAAGTTGGGCTCACCATTACTAGAAAACCATAAGGGGTCACGTAAAAGAAAAATCAGAGCAGTGGTTCTGTGGAAGGAGGAGTTTGACCCCCTTCCCCATCCTGTTTTCCAGATCTATATAGCTCTGAAACCGCAATTAGCCTTGCTGGTGTTTGGTTACCTGTATTATTCTGATTGTTAAGAGTAATTTACAGCTTCAAAAGGGGAAGGATTTAGATCCAAAAGACGGGGGGTGGGGGGGAGGAAATGTCACAGCTCCCATAAAATTTGGATTCCGCAAAAAGAAAACAGAAAAAGGAAGAAATCAGGTGATACAATCACAGCTGCCCCACCTAAGAGCCTAAGGGTGGAGCTTAAAAGGAAAGTAAGACTTTCCTGTGCCTTCCATCTCTGAAAGCTGAGACTGCCATAAGGATCCCACCTTGGCCCATATATTCTGAAGGAATCTTCCTAGTTTCAGTAGAGCTGGTTATGAAAGGATACAAGGACCCCCAATTTAAGCAACTTTAAGGGAACTGGATTATGCCATTTCAGATTGCAGACTTTTCCTCATCTTCTTTTTGATCTGTTATCTTTTGCTTCAGTTCTGGATGCTCTGGGAAATTCATGAGGATGAATGATCCAACAGCCCCAGGGATGTTTTTCCATCTTTCTTCAGAAAGGGCAGTTTGGAGCCTCAGCTCAGTGGCAGTTCACTTGGTCACGATCCTGCCCATGAAGTAGACACTGTACACCTCCTTGATGTCTCCCTTCACATTCAATATGGCTGATCCAGTCACAGGCTGGTTGGGCTGCAGAGACAAGATGGAGGGAAGCGCTAGGCAGAAATTGCAGGCAGCCCGGTGGACAGAAATGCTAGCCCTGCCTCCCCAGTGACTTCTTTATGTTTTCTGAACTACAGCTCCCGTCAACCCTGACCACTGGTCATGCTGGCTGGGGCTGACAGATTGCCTGGAGGGCCACAGGTGCTCCAGTACTGTTATAAAGGGTGCATAAATGTCACTCACCCCCTCCCCACAACCAAACAGATTCATCTAGAGCAGGAATGGGAGACATGTGATCCTCCAGATGCTGCTGAAATACAACTTCAACCATCCATCAGCACTGATCTTGAGGAAGATTCCTCCTTTGCTTCTTTTTTGGCAAGGGGTAGGGGAATTCCCCATCGGCACCAATAGGATCAGGAAGAAAGGAAAGAGTTAAATTCTCCCCATACCACCTGTTGCAGTCTGGAGAATTATCAGCCCCCACATCAGATGCTACTTGCATTAAAAATAAAAATTGCACATTATATACAAAGCTGCTTGTTGTGTTCAGTTTGGCCCTGAGTGTCTACTATAAAATGACTCTCATCCTTCACATGGACATATGAAGATGCCCCATTGGCCCTTCTAGGCCAGACATCTAACTGGCAGTGGCTATGAAGGATGTCAGGCAGAGATGTTTCAAGCCTGGCTATGCAAGATCCTTTTAACTGCAGATGCCAGATATTGAACATGGAATATTCTGTCAGCTATGCTGGTGTTTTACCTAAGCCTCCTTTGCTTAACAGGGAAACTGACCTTATAAAAAACTTCCCTCCTCCTATCCTACTGCTTGGGGAAGTATAATACAATAGCAATAAATGGCACATTTTAAAACTTGCAACATACATTTGATCCAGCAGGGGGCACCCAAGAAACATTGATGGGTTTGGTTTGTCCACGCTCAACGCTTCCTTTCACAGGATCGACAGTGAATCCTTTTAGCTGAAGAAGTTGCATGTTTTCCCAGTTGAATTCTACATTCTGCAGAAACAAAAGGTTCACAACACGCTGTCAGACACTATGGCTGATGAAACCTCATGGCACAAAACATGCCTGGGTGAATAAGCGAACATGCCCTAAGATCTGCTCCCCATTTGTAGAACTGATTCAAACTGGGATTCTTTTTTTTTAAAAAAGGAAGGCAAGAGACCATCTCAATTTTTCAGAGTATCCCATAACAAGGTGAATCTATAGCACTGATTTGTGCTGGTGTAAAAAAAAAAAAAATGAACACCAGCAATTTCTGCTCCCATTTCTGTTTGTGAATGAATTCTCTGACATCCCTAGACACAAAGATGTGCAGAGCTGGACTCTACATGTTGATTTGCCAGGGTCTGTAAGAGAACGATGGGGTCTCTGCCACTGCGTCTGACATCAAACCTGTCCTATACCTCTATTTCCCTTTTTCTTCTTAGCAATTCTCCCGCAGGGAAACGGTGGTGGGAGTTTTCCCCAGGTGACACATCCCAGGGTATTGTCGCTCCCTTTCTCAATGTGCCTCTTTCACCTCTGCTAGCAAAATGGTTCATGAGAAGGAAGGCCAAAAATTGCAGAGAGACTTGCAAGGGTAGAAAATGACTGAGGGAGATGATTGGCTTTTTCCTACAACTTGAGTCCCATCTCTTCCAAACAGTGTTAACACACTCCTTGGAATATGGCCCATGTTTCCCAGAAAACCACTGTGCTGGATCCTCTAAGGGTGAGGGTGTTGGGAGCCACTGACATATGCCTGGCCCCTACGGCTCCTGCACCTTCTTTGATGCAAACTGAGTGCTTCGTATCGCGCCAACTCTCAGCTCCCGAGTGGCTGGGATAACAAAAGTCTCTGACTGGACACATTCCAGGTTCAGAAGAATGGAGTTTGTAGACTTGCCGCTCTCTGCAGGAGAAACAAATCCAGTTGTAATTGTTGGTGGGGCAAGAAGAAATTGGTAAAAACACATACACATACACATACACTCCTAAACAGTATTAATTGGGATTGTACAGGGACCATAACTACTGTCACTGGTAGGGATAGACAAATTTGCCAATTTCAGTTTGTTTGTTTGTTTCATAAAATTTATACACTGCTTGGTTTAATAAAAAAATTCTCAAAGCTGTTTATCAAAAAAGACAATGAAATTATCAGTAAAAACAACTAATTAAAAACATAAAAATCAGCAATAAACAAAAACAAATTACAACATAAATCAGCATTCTACATGGTGCGGCAAGTTAATCTAAACATGCTTCTAAAAATGAAACAGAGATTCATCCATCAATATGGATGGGTTTAAGGTGGGCTACCTGCTTTGCTTGCTTCTTCAGCCATAGACGTAGTTACGGCCAGTGACTCAATGGGCACATCTAGCGGGTCACCTCCTTCCACAAACATTATGTGGTTCCGTGCTGCCCCTTTCAGCTGGATCACACGGATGGTTTCCTAAAAAGAAGATTATCGCAGCCTAATGTTTATTCCACTTTACTGCAACAGCCCTCAGTAGTTTCAGCAGCAATTCTCTTTGCAAACAGCTTTGAGGTTTTTTTTTCTTTAAACAATTAAGTGGTCTGGAAATTAAGTGGTTGCTTTTGGGCAACCATTCAAAGCTCTCCACCAAAGTTCAGAAACTTTGTAGAAATCCAAATGAAGTTTGGGCTTTGCTGGGGGGTTTTAGTGGCTTTGCAAAGGGAAGAGTTGTTCTTGTTGCTTTTCCAGGGTATTTGAGAGTCCTTTGCCCTTTGGCCTAGTAAACACTAGATGGCACTCCTCATTCATCACCAATGTTCCTTCGTTCACTGGTTCATCTTAAAGTAGGGGAGAAACTTTCACAACTCAGTCCTTGAGGCCAGTCACTTCTGTTTGGATTGTGCCACACATAGTGTACCAAGAACCAAATTTACAAGAGCCTTAGGAACATAGGAAGCTGTTTTACACTGCATCAGATTCTCAACACCGATTGGAGGTGAGTCTCCAGGCTTTCAAGAAGGAGTCTTCCCTGGCACTTGCTACCTGGAAATGCTGGGGGTTGAACCTGGAATCCACTACATGCAAAACAAATGCCACACCCCTTTCTTTAAGATACAGGAACAAAGGAAGCTGCCTTATACAGCTAGACCATATTGGGTCCACCTAGCTCAGTGATGTTGATACTGGCTGGCAGCAGCTCTCCAGGGTTTCAGACTGCAGACACTCCTAGCCCTACCTGGAGATGCTGGGGATTCCAGGACATTAGCAGGACCTGAGCAGAACAGCACTCTCCCCTCCTGCAGTTTCCAGCAACTGATGCTCAGAGCCCTACCTGAGCCAATCTCACCTTGCCAAAGATTAAAATATGGATGCAATCGGAATAATACAGGCTCTCATGATCAGGGCTGAAGGTGATGGTGAACTCCTGACACTTCTTGAAAGTGATGGTGCCTTCCACGGGAGAGACGCTGAACACACTCAAGCCATTGTAATTTTGTGTACCTGGGAATAGATGGAAACACAAACTGGTAGGAGAAAAGCAGCTGGAGAGCCACATCTCCTTGGCCAATATTTTCAGCACTCTGTTCTACAGGAGAGGTAAAAAACCCAGCAGCAAAGCTGGAAAAATCTGGATGATTAAACGTATTAAGCTGGAGCCTGCTGTCAAGCTTGTAAAAAGGTATAAAAGAGAAACACACAACACACATACACACAGCTTAGGGAACTAAAGTACCACAGATTAGAACAATTCAAAGCAAATATTGAACACAAGGCTTGTCACCTGGCCAAGGAAGCCCTATCTGTTTTTAGTTTATTAAGTAAAGCTGCATAACTATGCATGTGAGAAAAGATTACTTAAGATTTCAGCAGTCACAGCAGTCTTCATCTTAGAGGAGAGAGCTTCATTCTTTCCTATGCAGGTAGGAATGCCTCTGAAGATGATGCTTGCAAATAGTTGTATTAAAAGTAACCATCTAAAAATCTGCTGCTTAGTTGATCGGGGCCATTTAAACACCGTAGCCTACATTTTGTTAACTCCAACTCCATAGGCTTTCCCCTCTCCTTCATCTGCCGTCCAGCAGCAGCTATTCCATTTGTCTGCTGCAGAGAAGCGAAGCAGGGCCAGCCCATTTCCCTTTCACGCTGCACCTTCCAGATTGTAAATTTGAGGGCAGGAACTACTGCAAACTGCTACAGTTTGGCTTTTGCTAAAACTTATGCTATACATCTTACTATCTGCTCTGACCCAAATGAAAACAGTTATTTCTTAAATTAATTTCAGTGGGAAAGGAATGTCAAAAATGATGCAGAAAATAATGTAATTATTTATGTTATGTTCATGGACTAACAAAAGGATGGTGGGTGATTTCTGTTCCTGACCTCGGACGAATGTGCGGATTGCGGCAATTTCCACTCTTGGTTCCGAAAGAATTCTCCAACATCCCTACTTACACCGTGTGGCTGGAATTATAAACAGCAACTGCACCTGCTCTTAGAATTACTTTCATAGAATATATACGGACCCTGATCAACACAGGATTGCTTTCAGTAAGTCCACAATTATCTCCATCACTTCCATTAATTAATATTCAAAAGCATTAAGAGCAATTATTTACCAACTACGTCTGCTTTCCCTGGAGATGCGAGGAAAGGGGGAATCTTTGGCTGTTCTCTTTCTCTGCTTGGTGAGAGCGAGTCAAGAAGAATATTGTATTTCAGGGTCAGATTCGAAGTGTTCTCTATCTGCAAGAGACCAATCAACCAACGACAGAGTCAAAAGCTGTGTTCCTGCAAACTGACTTCAACCTTTTTCTGTGGTTGTCTTTCTGCTATATCCATGCATGGGCACATTTATATGAACAGGAATCTCGATTAATAATAATAGCAATCAGCTGCAGCAGCCTTAATGTTTGTATACCACCTTCAAGTATTCTAAATGCTTTGCGTGTGTGATCTAGTTGTAATCCTTACTCTGTACAGAAGTGATGGAGAACCTGTGCCTTTCTGAGTGTTGCTAGACTCCAGCTCCCATCAGCCCCAGACAGCTTGGGCCAAGGATGATGGGAGCTGCAGTCCAGCAACAACTGGAGGTCCACTAGTTCCCCACCCTTCCTGTGAGGTAAGTACTGTACTCACTTTTTCCCTCCTAAAAAGTAAGGGGAAATGTGTGTGCGTCTTATGGAGCGAATGCAGGCTGCGCAGCTATCACAGAAGCCAGAACAGCAAGAGGGATTGCTGCTTTCACTGCGCAGCGATCCCTCTTGCTGTTCTGGCTTCTGAGATTCAGAATATTTTTTTTCTTGTTTTCCTCCTCTGAAAAGTAGGTGCGTCTTGTGGTCTGGTGCGTCTTATAGAGCGAAAAATACGGTAAGTATTATGATCCCACATGCTGCAGATGAAGGGACAGAGGCTGTGGTTTGCCTAAGGCCAGCTAGTGAGTTGTGAAGCAGAGGTGGGATTCAAACTGGGGGTTTCTTGATTCATAGCCCAGTGTCTTAGCCACTAATTCAAGGCATTGTTTATTTTGTCCCTGTAAAAAATGATCATATAAATACACTCGTTCTGTTCATCACTTTGGATTTGGAGCATACTTTCTCCTGGCTTTTTACAGTATTGAAAAGGCAGCCGTTTAATTCCAGGCTTCCTCAACCTCGGCCCTCCCAATGTTTTTGGCCTACAACTCTCATGATTCCTAGCTAGCAGGACCAGTGGTCAGGGAAGATGGGAATTATAGTCAGATGTTTGGGTTCCAAAGAATGTTCGTAAACCAGAACACTCACTTCTGGGTTTGCGGTGTTTGGGATCCAAGGTACAACTGTACTGCTTTTATTCACATGCGTAATTTCTGTTCCTGACCTCAGACGGACCATCTCTTTCCATTTCTGATGGAATCCTTCAACATCCCTATTCACAGTGCAGTTGTGATTTACCTTGAAAGTGGCAGTGGCTGTTTCCTTAGCAAGAACATATCCCATGTTGAATACGTCTCCTTCCACTGAGCAAGAAATTGAAGGGATGACACCCTGGCCTGTCAGGGTAAGGGTTAGAGTGAATTTCCCACTGCGGATCTCCAGCATTTCAAAGTACTGTGGGATAAAACATTATTGGTCAGTAAGGATAGCATTATATCAGGTGGCATGAGCCACCTAAGGGGCTCAATAAAAGCTGAGTGTCACCTTCCTGATATTTAGGGGCTACTGATAGTAAAGTGTCCATTATGGATGGCTAGACCCATTTGTCTCAAAGGGGAAGGGACTAAGTCCCACTGGGAGCACTGGTACTTGATAACATTCCATCATTCTCAGGGCAAATTGTTCAGAAGAAAACCACTAGGGACAGCCATGTTTCTTTTCTGTACGCTTGGACTAATGAGCAAATGGGGGCACTGACCCACCAACCTCAGTCTCCTCTCAGCTAGCCACCACTTGCCTGCCTTTTTACAACCCGTCAGGATGTGGCTCTGCCTGTTATTGGCTCTGGCTCCACCTGGCTTTCATTTGAATGTGTGATATACTTAAATGTACATACACATTTCTATTTATATATGCATATTCATTCTTTGTTTTAATATGTGTTTGTACTTATAGTTAATTGAACTGAATTATTTTTTTGTATTACTGTCATCAGAGAGGTGGAAGATGTGCCTGTGAGATTTCATCCCTCAGGTGCCAAAATAGCCTAGCTGGCCTTGTAGCCTGACTTTGAGGGGGATCGTGACTGCTGGCTGCACTGCCTCAGGCGGCAAAATGTTTTGGCCCTTCCCTGTGCACTTAACATGTCTGCCCAGCATTAACGAGCCAGGCATACATGATCTGAGCGCAGACTCTGCTGGCATGCTAACACAGCATGTATTGTGGGACAGCGCATGTGACAGGTATATTTAAGCATGGTGGGGGCATGCAGAACTCATGCACGATTAACCACCTGTCATGAAGTCTGCATCACATATAAACTGGGCCTTAAGATAAAATGGGTATGGAGGAGAGTATGCCAGGGCTGCACAGCCTTTTTCAGCCAGAGGGCCACATTTCCTTGTGGAAAACTTTCCAGGGGCCACATTCCAGTGGTGGGCAAAGCCAGAGGTAAAAAAAGGGGGAAGCAATGGATGTGCCTCTTACCTTTGTACATAGGCAACATTTCAACCACTGAAAAGTCAGATGTTCTACACACACACACACACACACACACACCTCCATCTTTCTTTCATCCAGGTAAGGAAGAGGCATTAGCATAGTTCAAAACCCACACATTTATCCAAGCTATCCTAGTTCAAGGACACATCCTCAAAGAATTTCAGCAGGCCCAGGGAATGGTGTGGAAGGGGTTGTGGCCTTGGAGAGTTCTGAGGGTCAAATAATGAAGCCTGGAGGACTGCAATTGATTCCTGGGCTTGAGGTTCTCCACCCTTGCAGGACGGTCCCCTTGGAGGAAAGGTGGGACACCAATGAAATAAACTAAACCAATTCCTTGTTTAGAGACTCACCGGTGTGTTCTCCTCTGGGCAGAATGAGATGAGAAGATTGCGGGATTCGCCTTCCTCCAGTGTCCAGAAAGGATTTAGCACCGTGAAGGATCCAAAGGGATTCAAGAAGGAATATCCCAGCTGAAAATGACAGCTCAAGGAAATACAAGTTTAGTGGTAACCAAAACAACCACTCCACCCCCCAAAAAGAAAAGAAATGGAGACAGCCATGGCAATCTGTTACCTAGGGACTATTACAAGAATTAGCAAGCATGGGGACTTCCCTTCAGATATTACCATATTTTTGGCTCTATAAGACGCACTTTTTCCCCTCCAAAAATTAAGGGGAAATGTGTGTGCATCTTATGGAGTGAGTGCAAGCTCCATGGCTTCAGCGAAAGCAACGTGAAGCCTCCAGAGCGCAGCGGGAGCGCTCCCACTGTGCTCCAGAGGCTTCGCTTCGCTGGAGAGGCGCTGCGCAACGCCCCTTCAGCGAAGCGGGAGGAGAAATGGAAGGGGCTCCGTTACTCCTGCCGCTTCACTAAAAGGGCGCTGCACCGAGAGGGAGAGAATTTTTTTTTTCTTGTTCTCCCCCTCTAAAACTAGGTGCGTCTTATGGTCGGGTGCGTCCTATAGAGCGAAAAATACAGTAATTAGTATTTGCTGGAGGACTGAATTGATCTACCGTAGCCTGGTTGGGTTGCCATGTGTTGCCTAACTACATACAGGGGCACTTCCGGCTACATAAAAGACTCTGGGCACAGGCTTACACTTGCATAAAATCTGCAGCTGCTAATCTAGATCTGCAGATGCAAACACTGGTTTCTGAGCAACTTAAGATGGAGGGGTGAATCAGTGTTTCACCAGCACCCTGCTTTGCAGTATGTTGAAAAACCTTGTATGCAAAGGAAGAGGCCTAATTATTATCAGCTTGTGGTAACATGGAGGTGGGTTTTTCCACCAATGGCACCAGTGGTATGGAATGCCTTCCTTCAGGAAATAAGAGAGGCCCCATCAATATTGGCATTCTGCTGGCTCCTGAATACATGCATACCTGTTTAGGGTTCAAGCATTTTCCTGAACTTTAACTTCAAGATCTAATAGTTTTAACTGTTTTTTTAATTGCTATGCTTTTGTACTGGCTTGTTTCATTGCAAATATTAGCTATGGATGTACGTTTTCATGAAATTGTTTCACTGTGTATTTTAATTACATATAGATTTTATAATTGATTTTACACATGTAAACTTCTTAGAAGCCATTTTGGCATGTAAATGATGTATAGATTAAAAATAATAAAATAAAATAAAAGTGAAAGGAGCAAGAGATCGACAGACCAGCACAAATGACATGGGGCTGGCTGCCCCTCCACCAGGCCACACCCTAACAGCTCAGATTGCATGCCAAGAACAATATCAGATGGTAGACAGCTGATATGCAGGTTGTAGCAAAGTGCCTCATCTATTTCATTTATTTGCAGATTTATAAAAACGCTTCGCAACAGGAAGTTAACAAACAGTAAAAATATACCATACTTTTCCGTGTATAAGACTAGGGGTTTTTTTTTACTAAAAAATAATGTTAAAAGGGGGGGTAGTTTAATACACGGGGACAATCTCCCCCCATTTTCTTAATTTTGGGTCCCCAAAATTAGGGGGCGTGTTATACACAGAAAAATATGGTACAGGATATATAAAATATCATCTTACTTTATGTTCCCTACCTCAAGCAGGCTTACCCACTATTGCTGCTGGCAGTGACAAGCAAGAATGTGATCTGTAGCTGATGACTCCGAGATCCCTGGCATTTTAATTTACCCACAATATCCCAACACAAAGGCCTTGTAGTGGGCACAGGACCCCACATGCTCAGCTTCCAACCCATTCCATTGCTGAGTGCAGAAGGTCTGAAGGGGCCTCCTATATCCAGATGACAGGGAACGCTGCCTTTTCAGGGTTCCAGATTGTGTTGGTTTCAAACAAATAGATAATATAGCCCCTTTCAATCCTTGCCCACTCAGCACAGGAAATTCAGTAACTGAGATGTGCTCTTATAAGATGCACCTACTATTCCATTGTCTCCACTACAGATACAAACTGTTCCTGCTTCTCAGGAAACCCCTGGGAACAGTAGTTCTCCAAAGCGGTGGAGGAAACCTCTAGTGATTCTCAACTCTCTCACCAAACCATAATTTTCAGGATCCTCTGGTTGCAATCATGCCAATTCAATGGGTACCCAACTTAAATTAGTAGCACAGGTATCTCCATAATATAATATTCTAACCTGTGACTTTGAAGATGGAAGTATATGTGGGTATCCTATTGTGTTTATTTTGGAATATTTGGAATATTTCACTCCAAACAGCAGAAGGTGAGTCCAGTTGATGTCTTCTACTGAGCAGCCACAGATTTTGGGGAACAGAGAGAGGATGATTCAAAGCAAAGGATACAACCAGCTGTTCTTGAGAGATGTTATGTAGCTTCACTTCTTTCTTAACTGTGTGCCCTAGTAAACAAGAGAACCTCGCATTTACAAAGGTGAGCCACCCAGAAAGCATCTTTATTGGACGGCCATACAAATAAAAACAAACAAACAAACAAACAAACCAGGAAATCAAGCCAGTGGAAGTCTGTTTTAAAAATCCACCCGGAAGCCATTCTCATATTATTCCAGAAAACAAAACAACCCCCCCCCCCAACTAAAATAAAAAAATCAAAGAAGAATTCTTAAGATGCTTTCAGATGTTTCAGTAGGGAAGACAGAGGTCCAGCTGTTCCATGTGTAGAACTGGGACACTTTTTACAAGTGCCACACAACGTTTATTTGGTAGATGCAAGGAACTGACCCTTTAGTGTTGCAGCACCTACTCTTTGGAACTCCTTGTCCATTGACTGTTTAGTTTTCAGCACCTGCTAAAACTTTTTTTGTTTAGGCAAGTCTACCAACACATGCAATTTTTAGCATGGAATGTTCATGACATGCATTTGTTGCAAAACTGCTTTAATTTATATTTTGATCAATGTTTGATCAATGATGATCAATGTTTATGTCAACTGAGTTTTTTAACATATGATTTTATTGGCATCTACAAAAATGTTTATTAATTTTGAATATAAGAACAAACATACAATCAGTTACAGTTTCCCCCTGCTCCCTCCCCATAACAACCCCAACTACGTATTAGCATTTTAAATTATTATTATTTGCATTTTTTATGGGAAAGTCTTAGAGGCTTTTGGTGATTAGGCAATGGTATAAGCCTTGTTAAATAAATACAGTGTGGCTGCCAATGCCCTTTTAGGGACAATATATGGTTTGAGCCATGTCAAGAATCAGACTGTGTGTGTTCTAAAGTTATCTAGTGAGTTCACAGTAAAGGCAAAGACTCAAACAAGGGAGTCCCTCCTGATTCAGCACTACAGCCCCATCTGTGGTATACATTTATAGCACTATCATGTCACTTTAAACATTCCTAACTCTCTACAAGGCTCAAGACAGATCTGGCTAATGGGTGGATTTTATGTTTTAAAAAGTGGGGGAGCAGCTTGTGTAGCGATTAAACCAACTCAGCTCTTTACTGAGCATTTGGTCTGGTTTGTTTAAGGAGCAGTTATATGAAAATGACCGCTGGTCTGATATTCATCCTGATTTGCTTTGCGGGGTACTTACACATTGGCCCACTAATCATTTGTTCACTCCACAATTCTCAATGCATTTCCCTGTCACTTTCAAAACCACTTTTGTTTTTTTAAAGTGGGATTGTTGTGCCAGGTCCTTTAATTCACTTTAACTGCACAAACCTACAGTTCCAGTTAAGTATTCCAATCCCTCCTGCAAAATGTTTACAGCCTGGAGATCACCCCATGCGTTTCCCCAGGGTCATCTAGTCCAACCCCCTGCAATGCAGAAATCAGAGCTAAAGATTCCTTGATAGATGTCCATGCAACCTCCCTTTAAAAACCTCCAGTGAAAGAGAGTTCAGCATCTTCCAAGGTCTGCTACATCCTTCTACACTCCATCTTAAGACTCATGACGTATTTTTGCTGCTTTAACACCATTCTAGCAATAGGGTGTGAGGAGGCTTGGTTCCATACCTACGCCAACATCCCCAAAGTTGAAGACTGTTCTCCCATTATTCGAAGTCACCATGAGAGCAGGTGCCACGGAAGGACAATGCAGCTCTAGGTACAAGGTAAAATAAGGGCTACAAATACACACAAAAATAAAGAAAAATGAGGATTGCTCTCAGAATATATAAGGTATCTGATTGTTCCAATATATGGACTGCAAGTCACCCTAGTGTTTTATTCAAGGTCTCAAGTACAGTATGTGCAAACATGGCTTGAAAATGGGAGGCACTGGAAATACAGTTTTCTTGAACTTGAAGGCTTGTGCACCAATATCTGATATATGGGTTGGGCTAAAAATGATATTGCCCTAATATGGATTTTGAATCAGCAGTAGAATTAAGAGTCTAGAAGGTATGAAAGAAGAACTTTTTCCTTTGGGCTAATGGTAGTATAGAGTAAAGGGAGGGGATTTTTGCTGGGACAATAGTGGGAGGGGAGAAAGGGCTAAACCTCTCCTCCTCCCCCATGGCTAAGCAAGGTCCATTAATTTAAATGGATCTACTCTGACTGGTTCTTAATTATGGATTGAGAATCATGACTACTTTGGTCCTCAGTTAATCCTGACAACAACAAAAACATGGTGCCCAGATTTATGTGCTTTCCTATTTTCTTTCACTTTCTGCATTGTATTTATTAGCCTGTGGCCAGGGACTGAGATTCCTTTCTTAATCTTTGTATGGTGCTGAGGAAACTAGGAACTTTATAAATAAATTAATGAACAACAACCACACAACAGCCACAACAACCTTGAAAAGTAGGAGAGACATACATTTTCCCTATGCTGCACAAGGGGGCAGAGGATGAGAAAGAATGGTTGGCCTAAGGGTGGGTTGGGGAATTTTTGACCCTCCAGAGGCTGCTGGACCACAACTCCCACCATCCCTGAGCACTGGCTGTGCTGGCTAGGACTGATGGGAACTGGAGTGCAATAACCTCTGGAGGGCCAAAGCTTCTCCAGCCCTGGCCCAAAGCCATGAAGTTAGTTCATGAGAGAAGCAAGATTTGAACCAGAACTGCCTGGGTTTCATTTTAGTCATTTCCCCACTGTGCTACACTAACCAATTTATTATGTATTACTGTTTTATTAATCATTATTATTGCATTTATATCTCACCTGTTCTCCAAGGAACAAAGGGTGATGGACACGGATCAGCCTCACCCCATTCTATCCTCACAAAAACGCTGTGAAGTAGGCGAGGCTGAGAGACTGTGACTGGCCCAAGGTCACACCCAGAAAGCTTAATGGTCGAGTGGGGATTTGGCCTCTGGCCTCTTGGGTCCCAGTCCAGCACTCTAATAACTACACCACAGCAGCACTTGTTCCAGCTGGCTTTGTGTAGTAAGCTTCTTAACTGGTTTACCTATTCACTCGACTCCTACTGCAAATAATCCATCAGTGCAGTGGTAAATTACAACAAATTGAAGTGTTTTTTCCTTTTCCATTTTCATATTTAATAGAACAAAATAGCTACTTTAAAAGTGACCCCTGATACACTGCCATGTGGTGGGGGAAGCAGTGCACTCTCTCTCTCACACACCCACACCCCAACCCCATCTACATCTATGCTCAAGGCATTTAAAACTATATGACCAGGGTACAAGTCTGAAAAGTATGCTTGAGCAAGTCTAGCCTTTAATTATCCTGTGACGCAAAGAAGTCTGTGTCTGTTGCAACAGGCACACAGACTACTTGCTAATTTTAGCAGCTACAGATGTAGCCAAAGCAACCACAACAACAACACCCCCGCCACATAAACTGTATGGGGGATTGCAGCTCCCAGATAACGCACCTGCTCGGCTTGCAGGAGGCCTTGGCTTTAATCCCCAGCGTCTCCACAGTTAGAAGGGGAAGGAGATGGGAAAGATCTCTCACTCTCTGCAATTGACCCTGGAGAGCCGCTTTCAGTTAATAGACCAAGAATGGGAAGCCTGCAGCCCTCTAGATGTTGTTGGACTCCAGCTCCCATCAGTCCTAGCCAGCAGGGTCAATGGTCAGGGATGATGGGGGCTGTAGTCCAACATAATCACAGAGGTCCACAGGTTCCCCACCCCTGATTCGGATCAAGAGAAGTCAGAGCCACCCTAACAAGACTGCAGCACCATTCAGCTCCGTAAGAATGGATATTTTGATCTGACTAACTGTATATATCTTTCTCTCAACATCATCTCAGAGGCCCACAGGTTTCCCTTCCCTGGACAGAAGGCTCTTGGGAGCTGGGAGCACCATCCAAAAAAGAAGGCTGCCTTCTGTGTCTCTGTAGGAGTAGCTGCACTGTCTTTTATCAAGGCTGATTACAATGCAGATGGGGAGCCTGTGGCCCTCTGGATGTAGCTGGACCCTGCCTCCCAACAACTCCAGCCAGCATGGCCAATCGTTTGGGATGATAGGAGTTGGAGTCCAATAAAAACTAGCCACCCAGAATGGCTAGGGCAACCCAGGCAGATGGGTGGGGTACAAATAAATATATTATTATTATTATTATTATTATTATTATTATTAGGCTCTCCCTCTCAATGGCAGACAATACTGGACTAGCTGAATCAATGGCCTGGCAGGCGGCTCTGTATATATTTAGTTCCACATTCATCACTGTACTTGTAGTGTAGGTTTTCAGTTCCTTTCTTCTCGTCTATATCTCCACATGCTATCAGGCAAGGGATAACATATTTGTCGAAGTGGTTGGCGAAGCTCCGGATCAGAGATAAATGAGCTGCGATATACTCTTCGGAACTAGAGAGGAGGAAAAGAGAACATTGATGGCAAGGAAAAAAGAAAAGCAAAACAAATCATCTTGCGCATCCTTTCAGTAACAAGTCATGGCTGTGGATTTGATGCATTTATAGCAGAAGAGGAGTCATCCATAGCTAAATGAAGTTTCCCTGTTCAGACTTGCCGATCACATGGTCGGCGGTTCGAATCCCCGCGGCGGGGTGCGCTCCCATCGTTTGGTCCCAGCGCCTGCCAACCTAGCAGTTCGAAAGCACCTCCGGGTGCAAGTAGATAAATAGGGACCGCTTACCAGCGGGAAGGTAAACGGCATTCTGTGTGCTGCGCTGGCTTGCCAGATGCAGCTTGTAACGCTGGCCACGTGACCCGGAAGTGTCTGCGGACAGTGCTGGCTCCCGGCCTATAGAGTGAGATGAGCGCACAACCCTAGAGTCTGGCAAGACTGGCCCGTACGGGCAGGGGTACCTTTACCTTTACCTTACCATAGCAGAAGAGGAGTCATCCACAGCTAAATGAAGTTTCCCTGTTCAAAGGCAGTATGCCACTGAATACCAGTAGTGTGGAACAGGCAACTGGAACAGGAGAGGTCTAGTCTTTAGGTCCTGCTGGGAAGCACACAATTGGCCACTCTTGGAAATCTTTGATCTGATCTATCTGAGATTTTATTATGCTCCCTACCAGGGATCACTAAGAGGGAAGAGAAAGCCGGGGATGAGTCTACGGCAGCTGCAGGCATAGACTCAGAACAGAGATGACTTTACTGGCAGGCATCAGAAAGGGCCAGTAGAGCAGGAGGCAGATAGATCTGATCCACAGGCAGGGACTGAGGCTCTAGGTGGGGATGCAGAGAGAGTGTGGTAAATCTACAAGGGGGGCCTGGAGCAGGAGTCAAAGGGAGTAGGAATGGACAAGTGCGGAGTATTTGGAAAGATTTCCCCTGACAAGTGTACCAATAAAAAAATTAAAAATCTGGGCCACGGTAAAGGTCCAGTCGCAGATGACTCTGGGGTTGCGGCACTCATCTCGCTTTATTGGTTGAGGGAGCCGGCGTACAGCTTCCGGGTCATGTGGCCAACATGACTAAGCCGCTTCTGGCGAACCAGAGCAGCGCACGGAAACACTGTTTACCTTCCTGCCGCAGCGGTACCTATTTATCTGCTTGTGCTGGCATGCTTTCGAACTGCTAGGTTTGCAGGAGCTGGGACTGAGCAACGGGAGCTCACCCCATTGCAGGGATTCGAACCACTGACCAAATTACACAAGTAAAGGTTAATTCTGCTACCCCCATAAATGATGCTCTGCTATTGAGTTACAGCCCTACCTGCTTAGAAGTGGGCAAAAAGAAGCCAGGATGACTGCTGGAGAGAGTTCCATCAAATGGCAAGGTTGCTGGCCACATCTTTTGTAAGGCAGACTGCTGGCTAATCCATTAGGAATCTATCTTAAATTGTAGATTAGGTGTGGGAGCAGCCATTGTGGTGCTCTGCAAATGAGTTGCACCAGCTCTGCTTGCCTGTTTCCTGCTTGTTTGTTCTTAAGTCTTCAGTTATTCTGGGGTCCCAATGCCCTAGCAGAGTCTACCATCTCTGAAGCCTATCCTGCCTACTCTCATGCTGGGTGGCTATGAGCCACTATTAAAAAAATTCCCACAATGCTGAAGTTTGACAAAGCATCACTCTGGGGTTTGTGGGAAACAGCAGCTCTTGGCTACTCACTTTTACCATTAGATAAATCCATAATGGGGGGAAGGGTGCTAGTGTAGGAGGATGGCCCACTGAGGACATTGTGCTAAAGATTTCCCAAGCCTGATGCCAGCCCCAATTAGCCATCCACACCCTGGCTGCACCCTGACAGTCATGGAGAGGTGTACTTGGTCAGCCATGGATGAGGGAAATGGAAAATGCCTTTTCTCACGCACTCTGGAGAAATGTCCTCTGGGTTGGGCGGCTGAAATGGTCGGGTGTGCTTTGAGATTTGACTGATGGAGAGTATGCTTGATGGCCTCTTTCCATCTTTCCGGGTAAGCAGGGCTTCCTCTTTCCTTCTCTGCCAGAGAGAGAGAGAGAGAGAGAGAGAGAGAGAGAGAAAGAGAAGCAGGGAAGCAAAGCCTTTTGGTTAACTGCTGGAATGGGGGGAGTCAGAGCAAACCCCCCCCCTTGCTGAAAGCAGGTGCCTAATGGGAGGGGAAAGGAAGATGATAAGAGAGCTGAGTAGAGAGGAGAATTATGGGGAAGGAATCTGTTGTGCCATGGGGGCAAGACATGGACTCCACTTCCAATGAGGCCCTTGTGCAGAAATGGATCACCAGGTGCAGAGGAGTCGCTATGCTTGCTTTCTGGCAGGTGGAACGCTTGGTTATGGAGGGGGTTGGCAAGGTGTCAGGAAGGTCTGCATGGTCTAAATGCACTCACAGAGCCAATCCAGTGCTCCTGCTGACGCCTTTGCCCCACACCGGCCTCCCCGTTGCCTCACCCCTCCTGGAAAGCAACAGCAATCTACATTCTGGGAAGTGACTGTAGTGGCTCCTCCCCACCCAACAAGTTGCTTCTGGCTCTGTGAGCCCTTCTCGTAATGGACTGCTTGTCGATAGGGGCTGATTTGTGGGCAAGAGCAGGGATATGGTAGAAATAGGCATGTCTGGAGAGCAAAATGTTAACAGGAGGTTGATGAGGAAAGACCATCACTATCTCCAGTACCAGAGGCAATGTGCCTTTGAATATCAGTTGCTGAAGAATGGGTAGTAGAGACTGGTTCATTAGGGCAAATGGGGCACTGCCCCACCAACCTCAGTCTGCCTGCAGACAGGTCCCCCCCCCCCGCCTTCTAACTTACAACCACTGCCTGCCAGCATCCTCCTCCTTAGTGTCAGTGTCACCATTAAAGGATGGGGACAAAACTAGAATTGGTTGGCTTTCACTGTCAATGGCTTTGACCCTCCCTACTTCTTGGGCTCCCTTGCCTTCGGTTCCACCAGCTGCAATAGGCATCAGCCACCACTGCGCGGCTTGGCAATTCCTAAAACTGCACCTGCCTCTCTACACAGTGTGACATGGGTACGGCAGATGTTCTTTGCAATGAGCAACACGCAGGAGGCATCGATCCCTCCCACACTTACCTGCAGTTCCAATTCCCGAGCCTTCCTCTCCATCTGAGCCTTTGCTTCAGCAGCCTGGCATAGTAGGTGGACTGCCTCCAGCCTAATAAGCTGATCACACAACACTGGGCGGAAGGACACTTCCAGCATGCATTTCTGGCATGGGGGGAGGAGAGAGGAGGCCGGAAAGAAAGAGAACATGCAGAATGAACTTGGGTAGCTAAATGGAGTTCAGACTTATGCTACATTTAACAGACAATCCAATCCATAATAGAGAACAAAGCAGGAGGCCTGGTGGATCTGGCCAAAGCATCCTGTTCTCACTGTAATCCACCTCAATGCTGTGAGGATAAAATGTGGAAGAAGAAAACCATAGATGCCCCTTTGAGCTCCAATGGAAATCCCACAGCAGGAAATGAGTAGAATAGCACTCTAGCACACGATACCTAGCAACTGTTATTCAGAGGCATACTGGAGGTAATATAGATATTATGACTGGTAGCCTTCATGGATTTGTCAAATCCCCCTTCAAAGTCATCCAAATTGGTAGCCAGAATTATAGTTTGTGGCAGCGAATTCCACAGTTTAACTGTGTGCTGTGTGAAGATGTACCTCCCTTTGACTGTTGTGAATCTCCCACCATTCCGCTGCCCTGTAAGACCCCATGAGGTTACAGTATTGTGAAAGAGGCCTATCCACGTTCTCCAAACTGCGCATAATCTTCTATGCCTCTATCATGTTCCCCATTACTCAATTTGCTTTCTAAACTAAAACCCTCCAAGGCATTGTATCCGTTCGTCAAAGGGGAGTTGCTCCAGTCCCTTGATCATTCTGGTTGCCCTTTTCTGCCCTTATACTGTATGGTCCCCCACAAGGCCTGTCAATTCCATGCCTCCCTCTGGACTCACAAAATATACATTGTATAGCAAATGAACACAATCCAGTTCATGTCCACGTTACTTCCTAAATCTGGGGTTTTACGCTTGCAGCATAGGCTCTCCTTATTAAGAAGCCTGAACTATATCTAGTGGAGAACAAAAAAAGGACTCTGATTACATTTCTTCTTTAAAAATGTGAATTAAAAATACATGTGCTCTCAACACTTTATTTTCCTTTAAGGGAGGTGCATCAGGCCAGATACATAGGCTGCAGTACTCCATAAGCATGAAGGTTCTATTTTTATCCAGATCTTTAATAGGCTGAGAGTGTGTGTTTACCTTTCCAGGCAGGACAGTTCCGACACATGGCATGATCGTAATAGGAGAGTCTTCTGGAACAAGGAACTGGAAGGAAGTTGGCCCAACGGGGGCCACTTCTCCCTTGCCAACTCTTGGGACACTGTGAGTGAACTGATTGACACTGACGTGATTGTTGATCACAAAGATATTTGCTGTTGACACGTCATTGAGAGCAGTGGCAGAAAACTGGACCAAGGTATGAGAGAGCTCAAGAGGAGGGTGGACTCCGACTGCCTTGCATGACAGCTTGAATTCTCTAAAAATGGAAACACAGCTGAAAAAATCCGGTCACAGCACAATACGAAGCCTGTTGCCAAGACTTTAAATAAGCCCTATGACAAGTATCTCATTGCTTTCAAGTCAAAAGATATTTCACTGCCCATTCCAGGTTCTGTGGCACCCCTATGGCTCAAGACTATACGGAAATCAAACCATGATGACACAAGATGGAAACAGCCCCTCTAATCCCAATGTTCAGGTGTGAGTGTGGTTGCTTAAGTAGCCAAAATGGCTCCATACCCATGCAGAAGAAAGAGTTTTCAGCAGAGGACAAAAAAGGTTGCACCAACCAAGTTATTCTTAGAGTAGATCCACTGGGTTGGTCTTCAATGTTAGCCCTATGCAAAATAGACCCACTGAAATTAATGGGCATGGCTAATGTACTCTTAGTAAAATTTAAATGATACAATCAATTGCAATTAATGGACCTAAGTTTGCTATGTCTTTTATTTTCAACGAGTCCACCCTGAATAGACCTGAAGATGTATAAAACTCAAAACCTTTCTTAACAAAAAGCTTAAAGGGGAAACATTCCCCAAACAGCCCTACAAAAACATGCATCCTGGATGAACACACTGCACAGGAGCACTTCATGCTGCAACATTTTGCTCTCAGTCCCACTTCTGGAATACTTAATTTTCACTGAAAAGATGCTGCTGATGCTGAAACATGACTGCAGAAATCCTGAAAGAAGTTGGAATGTTCTCTGGTGGTTTATTACAAGTAGAGCAACTGCAAATATTCACTTTTAAGTTTTGGGTTTGGTTCTAACATGCAAACCTCCGGAGCGGGGGAAGCTTCGCTGCGAAGAAGCTACAGGTAGCAATGCATGTTCAACCCAGTCCCACAGCTGCTAATTTTCCTATGCAGTTCTTCCACCCTGGCTGATTTCCCCTCAGCAGGGCTCCAAGACTGGTGGCATTTCCAGGCTGTCATTGTTTTCATGTAGGATTCAATCACACACCAGCAATTCCAGACTGCACAATTATAGTTGATGAGAGAGAGGGGTTGGGTCTTTTGCAACAAGCCTTCTTTCCCCCAAAGGTTGAAAAGTGGCAGGGAAATGCAGTTTGAAAGTGTGGGGTAGCACTTTCATGCCACATCATCTAATCTCCCTGTGAGGAAATCAGATTGCATGCTCATTCAATAGCCCATATCATCTGATCTCTCAGCAAACAAATCAGGATGAATGCTCAAGGAACAGGTCATTTGGAAGCATTCTGAGGGTCCTGGCTAAGCAAAGGAAAGTGGCCTCTGCGTGCATGTGTATGCAGAATGCAAGAATGCAAGTACCCCACCCCCAAAGCAGTAAACAGGTATAGGTTGGCCATCACCTCCTTCCCACTTACTGCTTCTCTGCAATGTATTTTGGTCATTTGAGGCAAACCTGAATCAGATCGGGGGATGAAACATGGTTATTCTGCCTCATTGGGAGAACCCTTGATGGCTTATAGAATCATAGAGTTGGAAAAGACCACAAGGGCCATCGAGTCCAACCCCCTGCCAAGCAGGAAACACCATCAGAGCACTCCTGACATATGGTTGTCAAGCCTCTGCTTAAAGACCTCCAAAGAAGGAGACTCCACCACACTCCTTGGCAGCAAATTCCACTGTCGAACAGCTCTTACTGTCAGGAAGTTCTTCCTAATGTTTAGGTGGAATCTTCTTTCTTGTAGTTTGGATCCACTGCTCCGTGTCCGCTTCTCTGGAGCAGCAGAAAACAACCTTTCTCCCTCCTCTGTGTGACATCCCTTTATATATTTGAACATGGCTATCATATCACCCCTTAACCTCCTCTTCTCCAGCTTGAAACTCTGTGCGCACCTGTTGATTTCAGTCTTGCAAGTCAGCTCAAAACTGTATTCCTTTGCCCGCTGGGCTTTGAAGATTATGTCCAGCTGCAACTGTTCAAGAGGCAGAAGCATTCCAAATCCATCATTGGGCTGAATTTCTACAAACTTTCAGAAGGAGGCAAAAAAGCATCACTCTCTCAGACAAACTAGCCATAATCCAAATGTTAACCCTCCAGAAAATAACCTACCTATTCTAAACCCTCCCAATTTGGATTCATCCCCACAACCCAACTCCGTAAGTGGTAGAAAAACATCACACTCATTCATCTTCTCACAATATAAAAACAAAGACACTGCATGTACTTTTGTTACTTATGGAAAAATCTTTCAATAAAAACATTTTTTTTAAAGAAAGGGAGTAAAAGAGAAAAATAAATGTACAGTATTGAGAATGTACCAAAAGGAAAAGGAAAAAGATGCACTATAGATCAAATGGAAACAGGGGAAATGCGTTGCCTAATAATGCACTTCTCAGGAACAGATATTCATTTGGTCCTAGCCCATGCATATTGTGATGATCAGGGCTGTGTGTTTGCATATATTCTGAGTGGAGTACAGAAGACCCTAGAGTGCAGTACTGGGAACACAATTATGCTGAAAATCTCCATTTAAAAAAAAGGCAAGTTCCTAGCCTTCATGGCTATAAAATGGTATACTTTGAAAGTGTGGGTGAAACGAACATAGCTCCTCGCCACTTTTCCATAATGTGCAAACCAAACCCGGAATGAATTAACATGTTAGAATATATTATGCAACACACACTAAATGATATACATTTGCTTAGTTTGATAATTTATGCACGTTAAAGAACTGAGCTGTTCATGGGACAGATTTTATTCAAAATGAGATATACACAGCTCTGATAGTAATCATTTGGGTGCAGTTCTCTCCTTCATTACAAAACTTCATGGAATATTTATTGTGTTAGAAACTGAGAAGAAGGTATTTACCTCTGGGAGTTCCACAAATCCAAATTCCTGGGGAAGGATGGCTTTGTTTGTTAATGTGATTGTTGTTTGGACAGCTTCGTAGATAGAGCAAAATCCAAAATCCACTTCGGTTGGTCTGATCTCCAAATCTGAGGTTGTAACGATTGCATGGACTGTAAATTCAACTGGCTTACTCTGAAACAAGAACACAAGTTTTGTTGTGGTGTAATGATTGAATTAGGGCAGAAGAGATTCAGATCCAAATCTCAATTCAAATATGGAGCGCACTGGGTGACATTGTGTCAACTCAAGTTTATTGTTCCAATGGTTTTGTTAAGAGATCTCTCCCCATCCTTGCTATCTTAAGTGCAATTCCTAGAGATCCCTAGACAGAAAGAATTACCATTAAAACAATGTGTCCACCTTGTAGATATGCTCTAAGAGAGATGCATCAAGAGAAACATATACATTAAAAAAATTAAAACTGAAAACATCAGAATGACTTATGGGAATTATTGGGAATGATTATGAAAAGCAGTAGAAGTATGAGATTATCAGATCTCCCCCGACCTCGGAGCAAGTCCCCCCGAAAAATTTATAATTTGGCATAATATTTGGACTGTTTGATTATTGAATAATATGTATAATTCGGAATATATGATGTGGTTTGATTGGATTGTTAAAATGGAAAGTTTAATAAATATCATATAAAAAAATGAAACTGAACACTATGCTTTAGGTTACAGTCCTAGACTTTGTGTCCCTTCAAGGCAACTCCTGCTGGCCTGGGGAGCTCTCCTAGGTTCTGAAGAAAACCATTCTGACCCAATCCCTGTACTTCATGGGTGAGGAACATTTTTTAGCTGACGAGCTACATTCATTTATGGGTAACCTTCAAGGGGTGGGTGGGGGTCAGTGCCAAAGTGGGTGGGGCTGGAGGTAGGGCAAACTGATGTGCCTCTCACCTTCCTACAGTAGGCTACATTCGAGTCTTGCCAAATTCAGAAGTTCCTGCATACACATTTTCCCTTGCAACACCCAGGCAAGCAAGAAACATTATTATAACTCCAGCCATGCCCTTGAAGAAGGGTACAGAGCTAGGTCAGCAAAGAGGGATGCTCTGGGGACAGTGAGTATAGCCTAAAGTCTTGAGGGTCAGATAGAGAAGCCCCCATCATAGGGTGGGCACATTTGGTTTCCAGACCTGAGGCTCCCCACCTCAGCTGTACTTGGTTCTCTGTTTCCTACCACTGATGGATATTATGCTACTCAAACCATTTCCCTCAGACCTGGACCACACCCAGCAAGCTCTCATCCTGCCTGAGCAGGACACAATCTTCCCTTGTTTAACAACAAGCAGCTGAATCGTGCACCAACCTGATCTGAAACCATGACCGTCATTGGGACTTCCAGAACTCTTGTTTTTACATCAAAGTACTTCCTTGCATCTTCTCGAAGAGAGTGCCTGAAACAGCAAAGTATCACATACTCTTTAAAGAGCCAAGCAGAAGGAATCAGACACTAAGGATGGGTTAAACTCTTCATTGCTGAGAGAGCCAATGAGAAACCTTGGACAGACTTTGATGGTGTGAACAAGAGGAAGGAAAAGCAGAGGAATATTTGCTTTGAGGGATTGAAGATGTCCTTCATTTCCACAACATAGATTTTCTTCTTGAAGTATCTGAGTATGGAGCCCTAAAGAGAGGTGTCTAATATTGTCCAATGGTTTTTAGGCATTGGGGGGAAATCCAGATTGAAAACTATTCAAGGTATCCAATTATAACCTAATTATTCAGTGATGAATGAAAACATGGGCGATAAGGGCTTCCTCACGGCAGCTTCCACCTGCTGATTTCTTGTACAATGTAGTGCTCTTGTTCTGGTGGAAATCATTATGAAAGCCTTTTAACATGGCTGACTTTTTTCCTGTTAGCATGTAGCCAAACCTTACAAGAAGACGGGGACAGTCCTTGAGAAGCTGTTTGGGGCTTTTTCATCTCAAACAAAATGAGGTACATTGTGCTTGAAGAATGTCTGCTGAACCTCTGCAAGTAATGCTATCTGGAAATATGCTTCCAGGGGAAACTTTGGCCCTCCAGATGCTGGACTACAACTCTCATCATTCCCAACCATTAGGTGTGCTGGCTGGGGCTGATTGGAACTGGAGTCCAGCTACATCTGGAGGGTCAAAGGTTCCCTAGCCCTACAGTACAGGCTTGAAACGTATTTCACCCAGATACAAATGCTCATAGAAAAGTTTCACATTAAGTGTTTAGATCATGCAAATGACGTTAATAATTGCCTACCTCTTTCAAAACCTTAAACAACAACTTCCCCCACCCAATACTGCATCAAATCGCTGAATAACAACTGATTCCTGCAATGTAGATAGTGTAAAATCCAGGCTTGTTTCGTGCGACAGTGTATTTTTAAGTACCAATTCCATGTGGGAACTGCAAAGCACATGAAAGGGTCTTGGCCTCTGTTTCTTTGCGTGTAATTCCCATTAATGCTCTCATAAGTGTTTTCGGCTTGCATTACTAAAGGGAGCTGATTATGGGGCCATGTTGTATTTACCAGCGTTTTAAGAAAGTATTAACCGATATATTGCTCTTTCCCTAGCAAAATATTGACGACTATAAATAGGGCTTTAGAAACTTGCTCGGTAATCAGTATGCAAGCTTCCTCGGCCCCAGCTGTAGTCAGGAGCACAGATGAGACACCCATCTTGGGCAATCTGTTCCTTTTGACATTGACGTTAATTAATTACCAGCTCTTCTGAGTCAGTATCAATAGGAAGGCAATACCACACAGATACTGAAATAAGAGCAGGCTGCAAGGAGAGTCGTAAAGACCATCTCCGTCTGTCTGATTACCCACCACGGAGAGGGGATGTGTAGGGATTCGCTTGCCAGAGCTTCTTGCCTAGCGCAAGCCTTGTTTGCAATTTTGAGCCAAATTAGTACAAACAATGTATCATTTTTAGAACCCCCATCCTATTTATAATCTCTGGGTCCTATAACACAGAGTGATTTTTCCCATTTTGTCTCCAGGGAGACAGTGTTCTGTCTTGGAGTCTTTGCTTTGAAAAAATGGGTCGCTAGTGAGATGCTACAAGGTCATATAGATTTGGTTTCCCTCCTTTTATAATATCATAAAAAGTGGAGGCAATGCTGTGAAAATGTTGTAGATGTATGGTTTTCAAATTTAAAAAGGAGGAGGTAACCTCAAAATAGATTCCAAAGGGAAAAATTATTTAATGAGTTGCCCAGTATATGTTGACAAAATCTTTGTCTGGAGCAACTGTAATATTGTTAGACTATCAAAATCAAATCAGGGAAAACAATATTCTGTAAGATGATAAAACAATATTTATAAAAGAGAGGGAGAGAAACTGAGTAAACAATCAGTATACAATACAAAATTGCCATACTGAGTCATGTGAATACATTTGAAATCCTTTTTTGAAGAAATGATTGGCAACGGATTTATGATTTTCTCCTACTCAGAGCAGACCCACTGAAATTCATGGCCATGACTAACTTGCTCTGAGCAACACTTAGTTGGAGACAACGCTTAGAATATAATAGTTTATGACAACCTGTTTTCAAGCCAGCCATTAAATGAACACCTTCAGCTAGCAAATTATGCAATATTCTTGAGAAAAAAAGACAAATTTTGCATATCAAAAGGGCATCTTTTAGATTAGAAACCTGCAACAATTATATCAAGTTGTCCTCTTTTGTAGTCAAGCATTGTCACAAAAGCCATTGTATGTTTTTTTTCAGAAGAGAGCAAGGATCCATTCATGAAACTCAGGCTTCTGCTAGAATTTGTCTTCCCAAACAACCCCTGTGAACAAAAGCCCCTCTTTTGGAACTCCTCAGAAGCTTCTCAGGGTTTCCTTCATGAGAAAATTATTGATGGCAGATAAGTTTCTCCAAGCCCATTGCTACTGATCATTCCCCAATTGCAATGGGCAGCCATGTGGGGAGTGCCAGGGTTGTTTCTAGATCACACATTTAGTTGACATGGAGTGATGGCAGAGCCAACAGGTGGTCAGTTGCAACCACAGGTTTGGCATCTGCTCAGAAAATGTATGGATACAAAGACCATATACAAATTGCACATTGATACTTATAGACACATAAACACAAAGGGAAGCAGGTGTTTACAACTGCACACATTAACACCCAATCAGAAATTCAGTGAAGCAGAGCAGTGATAAAAAGTATCTTCAAATGGATGACTCTTAGGTGGCGTGGTGTGATGGACACAGGTTTATGGAAAACAATCTCATACAGCAGGTGTGGGGGACCTTTAACCCTCTAAATGTTGCTGAATCACAATGCCTATTAGGTCTAACAAGCATGGCCAGTGGTTGGGAAGTGGTTGGGGATTATGGGTGTTGTAGTTCATCTGGGGATTGAACCTGAGACATTTTTCATGCAAAGTATGAGCCATCAGAGCCAGTCTAGCATTTCCATAAAAATGGCCTTGGCTTAACATTTTCAACACCAAACTTTAGTAAACCCTCCCTGTAACCCCGCTCTGCCTTCCATGCACCCCATCCCCTTTTATCTGATCTCTGCTTGGTGAACCAGTCAGGGGCTTATTTCATGAGTCAGAACCTCCTTAATCTCATCAAATCTCCTTTGAAGCTTTCCCCCAGCCCCCCCCCCGAAATGCAGATTAACATTTTAAATCCAAGCTGTGTCGCCTCTATCCACTTGACAAAACTATAGCAGTGTTTCACAACATTTGAAGTTTAGGGACTGGAAACTGTCATAATAATGGTAACTCTCTTTCTATAATGGGATAGGAATTTAATTCTGCACAGAGACATGCAGTGTTTGCATTTCTTAAGGCTCTACTGCAAAAAAGTGCTCTGGTAATTTATTCCACCAGAATGCTGATGCTGCTTTCATCTTGGTCTATGTAGTTCCGTGGTTCTCTAAAGTCTCAGGCAGAATCCTTCCCAACCCTGTGACCTGATGGTCTCTAGCCCAGGGACTGGAAAACTGCAGATAGAAGGACCTTTTCCATGCATAGTCTGAAAAAGAGGCCTTACACTAAATCTGTACGTTGTAAGAACAGAAGTAGAGCCCTGCTGAATCAGGCCGAAGGCCCATCTAAGCCCACATCCTGTTCTCACAGTGGTCAACCAGATGTCTCAATGCAAGCAGGAACTGAGTGGAAGAGCCCTCTCCCGTCTTGTAATTCCCAGCAAATGGTATTTAGAGGTATTACTTCCTCTGACAGGGGAGGGAGAACAAAGCCATCATAGCTAGTAGCCATCTGCTTCTCCTCCCCTGGAACTTACTCCACGGTCCTTTGGGACACAATGTCAAAGTTGGTGGTATTCGCAGACAACTGGTATTCAAAGGCATTAATGCCTCCAACAGTGGCAGCAGAGCATAGTCATCAGGGTGAGTAGACACTGACAGCCTTATCCTCTATGAATTTGTCTAATACTCTTTTAAAGCCATTCAAGTTGGCAGCCATCACTGCATAGTAGGAATGTAATCCAAGTCAATTTCCTTTCTGGACACTCCTAAATATGTTTGGGGGGGGGGGGGAAGGAAGAGAGGCATGGTGGGAAAGAGCCAATAAACCTTTTAATCTACATGGTAGTCAGAAGTGTATTCCTTAACATAGGGCAAACCACTGCCAATATTTAAATAGCATGCTGCATAGTTCACATCTGTGCTGTTTAAATGCTATTGTTGGATGAACTCGTGATTAATCTTCTCTTACGATTAAGCTGAGCACAGGAAAGTTAATCACATCTTCCCTTTCCCCAGTATACCTGAAGGAGTGTCTCCACTCCCATCGTTCTGCCCGGACACTGAGGTCCAGTGCCGAGGGCTTTCTGGCGGTTCCCTCACTGCAAAGTTACAGGGAACCAGGCAGAGGGCCTTCTTGGTAGTTGCACTCGCCCTTTGGAACGCCCTCCCACCAGATGTCAGAGAGAAAAACAACTACCAGACTTTTAAAAGACATCTGAAGGCAGCCCTGTTTAGGAAAGGTTTTAATGTTTGACGCACTATTGTATTTTAATATTTTGTTGGAAGCCGCCCAGAGTGGCTGGGGAAACACAGCCAGATGGGCAGGGTATAAATAAGTTGTTGTTGTTGTTGTTGTTGTTGTTGTTGTTGTTGTTGTAAACTCTTAGTTAAGGTCACACAATTATACACCAACAGTACAATCCTATGAGTCCTTGATGGGGGGCACAGACTACCTATTTATTGACTATTCATCGTGATATGCTTCCACAAAGGCTTCCACAGAGATTACACTATGTCTGGGCTTATAGTGAGCATTCTTTCTGATATTCTTGTCGGGTGGTTCTACATCACTGAGCATTTGTCCTGCATTCATTCTGATTTGCTTACAGGGTGTTTACACATCTTCCCGTTAGTCAGTCATTCACCCCATACTCCTCAAAGCATTTCCCTACCACTGTGGATTTTCTTCTTTATTTTTTATCTTGCTGCTGTTATAAGAATGTACATTTCATAATGTATTTCTTATTGTCATAGTTGTATTTATATAACCATTCAGAATTTTATGTTGTATAGATAGTATGCTATGTATGGACAAAGGGTGGTATGTAAAGTTAATAAATATAAAAATAATAAAGATTAGCATTTAAATAAAATTGAGACACTTGGCCATGGATGTCTGAGGTCTACCTTGGCAGAAACTTCAGCTGCACGCTAAAGGATGAATGAGCTTGAATGTAGCCCGTCTTTGGAAGCAGCTCCATGTGGTTGGCAAGTTCCTTGCAAACTTCAAACTTCAACCGCAAGGCACTTTTTGCTCTACAAAGAGAAGAGGAACATCTGAGTTGGCATGACATTGGATGCTCTGGCCACCTCTACTAACAGATCTGACTATATCAGCTACCATTTCTTCTCGCATTGCACAAATACACAATGATAGCTGAATATGTTAATTTTGGCTTCTCTCAGGCCGCATTCACACGCTGCATTTAAAGCACTACTATGATACCACTTTCAACAGTCATGGTTTCTTCGCCCAAAGAATTCTGGGAGCTGTAGTTCAGTCCGGACACGGAGATCCAGCGCCGAGGGCATTCTGGCGATTCCCTCATTGTGAGAAGTAAGGTTACAGGGAACCAGACAGAAGGCCTTCTCGGTAGTGGCGCCCGCCCTGTGGAACGCCCTTCCATCAGATGTGAAGGAAATAAGCAGCTATCTTATCTTTAAAAGACATTTGAAGGCAGCCCTGTTTAGAGAAGTTTTTAATATTTAATGGTGTATTGTATTTAACACTCAATTGGGAGCCGCCCAGAGTGGCCAGGGAAACTCGGCCAGATGGGCAGGGTATAAATATATTATTATTATTATTATTATTATTATTATTATTATTATTATTGGGTCTGAGAGTCGTTAGGAGACCCGGCTTCTCCTCATAGAGCTACAATTTCCAGAGTGTTTTAATGTTGGAAAGGGGATGAGCTCAGAAATTAAATAGCCTATATTTTAAGACAGCAAAAACATCTCATTTAAGGAGCAATTAGCAGGAGAGGTTTCGTCCTGTGCAGGATCCTGAACACCATACAAAGAAAACAAAAAATGATTGATATTTGGTTTTAAAAAAATATGAAAAGCAGCTCAGGTTTGGGGCTAAGCAACTTGACAGTTTTCTATCGGGAACACCTCAAAACCTTGGATTTGCATTGTGAAGATGAAGCAAATGGATCTGATAGCAAAGATACTCTGCCACTATACTTATAATCCCTTTCCTGGTAGTGAGTGTTATCTAGACCCAGGAAAGTCTCTTACATAACTTGACGTTTGTCACACTTGTAAGCTGAATTTCTGAGATAGCAGCTTTATTCATTTCCTTCCAACTGTGAAGAATCTCAGTGGGGTCTAATTCTAGTAAGGAGTTTAGGATGTATCCCTTTCCAACAAAAATAGGGGGGGAAAGGAAAAGAAAAGAAAAGAAAAAAGAGAAAAATAAATACCATTCAATTGTATTCGCTTGCATTTAACTAGAATGTGAAATAGTGATAAAGAGGAGCAAGTTAAAAATAGCAAGACTCAACATCTAGCTAGAAAAATCCATGGATTCAAAAAAAAAGGGGGGCCGTCAGCAATGGCTGGTCAGGGGAGATGACAGAACCATTTCTAAAAAGCAAAAATTGAGCTTCCATGGCCTACAAGTGGGATGGTGCTTGTCTGCCAAGAAACAAAAACCTAAACTTTTTTCTTTTAAAACTTCCATGTGTAGAAGTCCTGTGGAGATAAATGGGAATCTTATATCCCTATGAAACTACAATATAAAAATATGGGCCAAGGGCATATATCAGCTAATCAATTAATTACTTTGTTACCGCCAATAACCAGTATTCACAGAACAGCTAAATAGAATACAAATATCCAGAGCCAGTCTAATTCTGGACCACCTGCCCTGCTTTTTTTAATAATAATAATTTACTTTTAATAAATACAGAAAAATGAAAAAGAGAGAGGGATAAGAAGCCCCATCCCCTAACAACAACAAAACCTGCTTAATTTCTACAAAATTAAAGAACTTGGGTGTAGCCAAATCCTACTCAGAGTAGACCCACTGAAAGTAATGTACCTAAATTAGTCATCATCATTAACTTCAATGGATCTACTCTGAATAGGATTAGCAATGGATGCAACCCTATTCAGAATATATCCATTGAAGTTAATGATGATCAGCAACCAGCACAGCTTCCCCATCACTTCCTTTAATATGGACCCCAGAGTTGCTTCTGACACATGTGAACGACCCAGCAAAGGCTAATGTAAATGAGCTGCCTGCCCAAAGCTCTCCTGCTGTTTACATTGGGAAGGAAAGGGTCAGCAGGCCTTTGCCTGCATTTGAGGAGAGAGCAAATAATGATTAGGTGTGCAGAAAAGGCCCGTAATCATGGGGTAGGGCTGGGAGGCTGTGGGGTTGAAGGCTGGCCACCCAAAGGCAAGCCTGGCCACCCAAGGTGACCACCTCTGAGGAAGGCAGGAAACAGACTGCGGTTGAGGAGGACTAAGCCCTGCCTACTTACTACAGCTTTGTGTGCATCGGATGACAGGTGGTGCCAATACCCATTGTGATGGACCTTCATCCCAGCAGAATAAAAGTGTACTTGGGAACACAATCGAGTTCCCAGCTTTAAATAAATAATGGCAGATTAACAAAACCAACAGTGCAATCCTATTCATGTCTGCTCAAACTAAGTTCCATTGAGTTAATTTAGACTTCCTCCCAAGGAAATGTGAATATGATTGCAGCAAATGCTAATAAAAGAGGGCAAATTTAAGAATCAGTCAACCTGCAGAAGAACCTGGAAGTAGATGAATTCCTGGGCCACACACCTGCTTTGGATGATGATGCAGTCCTGATACAGCCTGTCATACATGCAGATTTTGAGGTCAACGTTTGGATTGGGCACCCACACCGGCACAGCCACAGAAACAGCAGTGACACTGAAGGACAACTGAACACGAACAGATGCAAAGTTTCAGGGGCAACGTGGTCTTGTATGCTGAAAAAACAATTGCTGCCCCAAGTGTTCAGGTTCAAACTCTTCCCCCAAACTCTTGGAAGCCCAAATTACATACGAGAGTGGTAGATATGCTTGCTTAGTCTAGGGATGGGGAATGTTTGTGGCCCTCCAGATATCTTCCTTACCTGACCTTTGGCAACACTGGCTGGGGCTGATGGGAGCTAGAGTGCAACAACATTTGGAAAGCCACAGTTTCCCAAGCAGCCGGTAGAGTGCTTTGAAACTCTTATCAGCTTAGGGAGGAACCACCTTGTTTCAAAAAGCACTCCCTTCAATAGGAACCTGGATAGGGCTGCCCTCTTCTACCTTTTCTCTTCACTCTACTTCTCTTGTGTGTCTTTTTAGTTCCTAAGCCCAAGGGAGTGACCATTTCTTTCCACTTTTGCTATTGATGCCAGCTCTCTCATTTATCTGAAAAGTGTGGGGGGTGATAAATTAATGAATGAATATTGTATCACTTTGCTCTCACAGGAGGCAGTGATGGCCACCAACTTGGACGGCTTGAAAAGAGGATGGAGGACAAGGCTATCAGTGGCTATGGTTAGAAGCAGTAATGCTTCTGAATACCAGTTGCTGAAAACTGCGGGAGAGCAGAGTGCTATTGTGCTTGAATCTTGCTTGCAGATTTAGCAAAGGCATCTGGCTGGGCACTGTGAGAACAGAATGCTGAACTAGACAGGCTGTTATTCTGATCCAACAGGCTCTTTTTATGTTCTTATGCTCAACTCTCCGAAAAAGCACCATCATCCTAAGAAGGGGCGCTAGTCAGAATTGCCTGCAGATCTTAGGGTGAAAAATACACGTTTGGAGGCACCTCAGGTGACCAAGGGCACTTCCAAATTGCCTGTTTATTGCATATTCATTCCTATTTATATGCAGGGAGCTTAGATGATGTTGCATCAAAGCAAGTGTTGCCCTACACTTTTCAGTGCATTTCCCCATCAAAATCTGTCACAAAAGTCTGATCTTTGTGAGGAAACTTGGTTTGTTGTGAAAGACCTCCCAGTAAACTGCAATTGCACAATGTGATTTACTAGTACGAGGTTGAACCCCACATGAAAATAGTAACAGTATGAAAGTGCCCTAATCTGGGGCCCCAGGCCTCTGCCAAACAGCTACAATACTGCAGCTGTTTGCCCTGGAGAAGAGGTGGCTGGATGCTTAATGCTTACTCCTTGAAAACCCCTTTTCTTGCTCAGGTTTCTGAATGCGCCTTTGCCACATCAGGGGAAAAGAACACCTGTGGGGACTATAAGATGATGTTGCAAGGATGGGGGTGTGGGGAATGCTGGGCAGCGGGAGACAAGTTAAGCACCTTTTTTGGCAGAAGGTCCCAGTTTGACTCCTGGGCATCTCCAGGCAGGGCTGGGAAAGAATCCTCCATGGAGAGCTCCTGCCAGTCAGTGTTGACAATGTGACACTATATGCCCTGGCTTGATGTAAGACAGCTTCCTATACTGCTCTTTTCACCTGCCACTTCCCCACTGCTAAGCATGTTTTACTGCTGTTTGGCAGCAACCCAGCTTCCCAGACCTGCTAGGTGCATATGTGGGCCTGTCAGGTGTACACTTCTGGACCTTCCAGAAGAGGGTTTCAAACCCTGAGCAAATTCTTCTAGAGCCATGCCTACCCTGGCCACATCCCTCACTAGCCTTGCTTTGCACCCTCCCCTAGTGACTGGCATTCCATGGCTGGAATGTTTCTTTGAAGTGTGATAATACTTTTTGTTTGCCTAGTATGTGTCTGGCCAAACCCACTCTGGGAATGTGGACTCAGCAATGTTCCCCATGAGAAAATGTGGCCCTTATGCTGAAAAGCCCTCCATCCATTCCACAGCACATCCTAGCACCAGCACAAAAAGCAAACATAAGACTCAGAGCAATAACTACTCACTGGTTTGCAGTCTGGGTTGTCAAAGGTAATCTTGAAATCAGCCTGCACAGCCCCAGGAACTGCTGGGGTGAACATAATCTGAAGTTTGACAGAGCTGAAGGGTCCGATATCACCTTCAGAAACCTGGATAATAAGCAAAAATGAAGGGTAACGACAGCTCAACTTTCTAAAAATGGTTTGTGGTTATTGCTTACTTTCACTTCCTTTTTATTTTCACTCTGCATCTTTTCTCATCCATGTTTAAGTTGCATACGCACCATACCTTTAAAGCATATTTCCCACATTCCCAAAGAATCCTAGGAACGCTAGTTTACCCCCACAGAGCAACAATTCCCAGTACCCTTTACAAGCTACTATTTCCAGGGTTTCTGTGTGTGGGGGGGTAAACACTCTCCCTAGTGAAATGTGTCTGTCTCCATCATTATTAAGCTTCAGGAGGAATTTGGCTGAAGGACACGGTTTCTGGCATCCCCAAGATCACTGGATATAAGAATGTATTTTGACTGTAACTGCTTTTAAAATGTTTTTCCTTGGTCAAGTTGTTGAGATAACCTTTCTTATTGTGAGCTGCTTATTGGCACAGTCCACTATGGGAAAGTGCCACTAAAATAAAAAAAACTACATGAAGATATCTCATCTAGGGTATTGGAGAGCCTTTACATTCACCAATAAGCTCACAGGGTTATATCCCATGTTAGTCCAACCCAGAGTAGACTCACTGAAATTAACAGGTGTGACTAATTAGGTACATTAATTCAAATTGGTCTACTCTGGGTAGGACTTTGTTAAGCTACAACTACAGTTTCTCTTTCAATGCATTACCTTGCCCACTGTGATCTCAAGTACTTCTTCCCTAGACTGCTGTCCCGGAGGTCTCTCAGCTGAAAGGACTTGTAGGCTTTCCCCAATGATGTCCGTGTCAGAAGCCAGATTATCAAGTTGCTCTAAAAGGTAGACAAATGAGGAAACCCTGTAATATTATTAACCATATTTATTTATTTGTCTCCACCTCCTGCCTCTAAAATCGAACTCAAAGTGGCTTGTTAAAATCAGACATTGAAAACAATTGGAAAAACAAGGGGGGAAACAAAAACCCTGAACTGTTCACCAATAACATTATATAATATGCAGATCCAACTCAACCCCAACTCACTAAAAGAATAGCAGAAAGTGAAGATCCAAATGCCTGGGAGAAAAAGAGTGCTTTTGCCTGCTGCCTAAAACAGATGGTGCCAGCTGTGCCTCCCTAGAGGGAAAATTCCACTAACAGGAGCAACCACTGAGAAGGGGTACACGAGAATGGCCTCAGATGACAAAAGCAGTGTCAGGGTTGGTTCAGAGTTGGAGAACCTGTGGTTTTCTTGATGCTGTTGGACTACAACTCCCATCATCCTTATGTTCCTGGTCGGGGTTGGGGTTCTGCATGCCTCTTATATAGCATGTGTGGTCCCCCAGATACTGCTAGACTAAAACTCCCACCACCCCTATTAGCCATTTGTGGCAGGAGCTGGTGGGAGTTGGAGTCAAACATCTGGTGGGCCATAGGTTCCTCAACCACTGCTATAAAACAAAACATGACTCTTCAGACAATGATACTAGAACCAACAGCCTCCTGAACGCTGCAAAATTATCTAAAGCATGTTTGCTTCTTCTTGGTGTTTTGTACAGGAAGTTGATGGGATGAGTGATTTCTCTTGGCTATCATAGAATACTCCAGCTGTTCCTTTCTGACTTCTAGAAACTGCTTCCAAAGGGCTGGTGCTGCAACACCAAAAGCCCAGTTCCCAGTGTGTACGAAAAGCATAGTTGCAGCGATCTAAGGGGCAAGGAGGTCCCTTTGGCAACCTGTCCCAAGTCATGTAGGGCTGACATCAAAATGCTGCGCTGTCTTTGGTAGCGTATTGGCCACCAGTGAAGCCCTCTCAGTAGAGGTGTTATATGGTGTTTGCAGAATGTCTCAGTTAACATTCTAGCATTCATGAACAATAAATGAGAGTGAGCTATTGGGATAGGTGGCAGTTACTGTCGCCCCCCCCCCCCAACCCCGCATTGCTTTCACCACCGCAAGAGTTATGAGAGATAGTGAGCAAATGAAAAATATATTATAAAGGTGTGAAAGTACTTCTTGTCCTCTCCAGGCCTGCAAATAGATTGGGCCCAAAGGGTGAAAGCAGGGGAGGTAAGGGTGGCAAGAAACTGTAGCAGCAGATGTGAAATATATTCAGAGTCGAGTGTGGATTTCATGCTCTTTATTCAGCTCATAGTGGTGAGGAGGAGGAATGGAAGTTCCCCCAGAATGTCTGCTTTATATATATTATTTACACAATGAGCCCCACGTGATTGGCTAATTCCGGGATTCACCTGTAGGCCAATCAGGTTGCGGATTCACTTCCACCTGGAGCTGCATTGGGTGGCTCCTGTGGACCACTCAGACTGCTGCATTCTGGACCCTACTGTTCCAGGACCAATCAGACTGCTGCATTCTGAATCCTATTGTTCTAGGACCAATCAGACTGCTGCATTCTGAATCCTATTGTTCTAGGACCAATCAGACTGCTGCCTTTTGGATCCTATTCAACTCAGTACATAACAAGATGATTCTAGTCAGAATTGGGCATTCTAATACAGCTGTGTCCAGGACCCTGATGGTCGCTGGAGACTGATTCATTAGGGTGAATGGGGCACTGCCCTGCCAATCGCAGTCTGCCCTCAGCCAGGCCCCACGTGCCTGCCTTCTTAAAGCCAGTCCATGGGAGTGGCATTGTCCATCACCTTCCTTCCTCTTAGTCTCACAGTTTTCCCCTAGGGAATTCAGCTGGGAGGAGGCCAAGGACACAATTGGAATTATTACTTGGCTCTGCCTGTCACTGGTCTTTGCTGTGTCTGTGATTGGATCTGGCTTTGCCTACTGTTGGGTCTCCCTGCCTTCTGCCCTACCAGTCCCAACAGGCACCAGCCGCCACTGCTGTATTGCACTGGCAACTTGTTTTAGCTGTACAGTTCAAAGCCCACAGGCTAGAGTTTTGTTGAAAAGCAGCACAGCAGGGCAACTGTGGCACAGGCAGCATTTGATAAGGACAAAAAATGGGGGAGCAAATATTTCCAAACTGAATGGCTTTATTTTCTCCAAAATAAATAAACTTGATGACGCTTTTGAAACATTTAAAAGCTGGGGAGAGAAACTTACGCAATTTATCGTTGTGTCACTTTGTTCATAAAATTGCAGGTTGTAAAAATAAACTTGTCACATGGTTCTCGCTTTTTGAGAGGTGGGTGTTTCAGATAATTTCAAGGAGAACAATGATAAGGATTCTGTATCCGTGGGAAGAAATCCTTGGAGGTTTTGTACTTGAGGGGAAACTGCCATTGCCTGCTCAGGACAGGGTTGCAGGAATATGCACCTTGAGGTGCTCTTGGATAATTGTCATTAGAGGACCAAGTGACCCCAGAAGGTTAGGAATGCTGTCCTTGGGCTGAAAAGGATTCCCCACCACTGTTTTAGCACCTTTTCCAAGCTATCATTCTCTCTCCTTGCAAGTCCATGCAGATGGGGGGGTGGGAATCCAAAATCCATAGTAGGGTAATAATGTTACTAGGCAGCTAACCCAAATGTCACAAAATGGCGAGCATGATTTTGATTTCTTCAGAACTCTTGAACAAGCCAAGTTTTGAAGGAAGCTTTTTAAAAACAAAAACAAACCAGGCACGAATAGTATCTGCAAGAGATTTTTTTCTACTTCTACTTTTACTTACACTCTTGGAATTTACCTTAAATCACTTAAACCAGAAACCTTACCAAAATTGTCAGGCAGAGGGGTGTGGTGAATAACCTCTTCAGAGCGGTTAAGAGAAACCGTTTCCTTGTCGCCAGTGAAGCGCCCCATACTAAAGTTGCTGTCTTTCTTATTCCCAGTTGTTGTTTCGACCACAGGGGCACAAACCTAATTGGGAGATATACAAAAAGCTCTCGGGTTTACGAATTCCAATTATTTTCAGATGGACTAAGATTTGATTTATCGTATTTATATCCTGCTTTTCATTCAGATAAATCTCAAAGCCGCTTACAAACAATAAATAACAGTAACATAATAGAATATCACAAATACAGCATAAATCAAATAAAAATAATGAACAAATGATCAGTAAGCTTTATGGTTGAGTAGGGATTTGAACCCTGGTCTCACCAGCTTCTAGTCTGACTCTCTAACCATTACACCACACTGACTCCCAACACAGTATCTGATCAGTCTGGCTCCATATAGGGCTATTTCCTGGACAGCTACTCAGCCTTTTGATTCTGAAGGGAAAAAACTATCAGTAGCCACAGAACAGGACCATCCACATAAGAACACCAGAAAAACCTGCTTGATCAGGCCAGTGGCCAGTGACTCATCTAGTCCAACATCCTGTTCTCACACTGGCCAAACAGACATCTTATGGCATATTAACTATGCAAATAGACAACCTAGAGACTATCCCACAAATGTGACAACAATGTGGCCAACTCCCCAGAGACTGCGATCTACTCACAGTTAAAGACTGGCAGTGATCTACCCCCTTTTTGATCTACCACAGACATCCAATGATGTTACCTGTTGGACGTGCCTGTCTTATGGAAAATATGCAAGCAGGACTTGAGCACAGCAGCACTTTCCCCACTTGCGATTCCCAGAGACAGGCTGCCTCTAACAGAGGGGGTGGAACACAGTCATCATGATAAGAGATTGAAAAATAGATAAGAGATAATATAGACAAGAGATAGATAACAGATAAGCAAGGAAAATGATAATATAAAAGATAAGAAATAAGAATATATAAGAGATAAGAGAGATGAGAGATAAGAGGTATGTAAGCTATATATGATAGAAGATAAGAGATATAAAAGATAAGAGGCAGGTATGTAAAGAGGCAGGCAGGTGGGGACTGGCTGACGAAGACTGAGCTTGGTAGGGTGGCCTCCACAGAGAATATGAAAGGAAATATCAGTGCTATATAAAACCTTGCCTTCTGTATCATGAGTTCCAGGGCCATTTCCCCTCAAACACTGCACCATATATTGCATAATACCAGGGTATTTTTTGGAGGGGGGGGAGACAAATACTCTTGAACAACATAATAGCCAGGAAACTCTGGAGGAATATATGGTCAATGAGCAGAAGCAGCCACTGACCTCAGTGTTGCTGCCATACTAGAGTAAAGTAAACTGCCCTAATCTCTGAATGGCACAAATGGGGAACGTAGGAGTCTCAGTTTAGAGAAATTTTTCATTTGTTCCAAAATGAAAGAGGGCTCATAGTGCTCATAATGATTAAGGGGCTTGATGTTTATGGTTGTGGTAACTGCCTGCTCTCTGCTCCATTTAAGTTAGTCATCAAAACGTTCACTGGCTTATCCCAAAAAAGGTTCCTGGGAAAAACACACACCTTGATTCGATAAAACAGTAACAAAAAAGGCATGTGCAGTTTGGGGCAGAGAAATTTGTTCATTTCAGTTTCTCATTTTCGCAATTCAGGTCAGCTGCCCCCATTTCCTGAGTTTGCTAATTTTTTTAAAAGTTTGCACAAAGTTTGTATGCATTTGCTACATACAAGCAATTTTTGCAGACCAATTCCCTCAACATAATGTGGTTTTGTACGTCATTTTCCACAATATGGACATTTTTGTGCTTTTTTGTAAACATTTTTTTGTTGGGCGGATGCACCAAAAATTGAAAGCAGTGCAAATTTTCAAGCGATAATTCACTTTGATGAATGGTTCAGGAAGTTTGGTATGTTTCTATTAAAATGCAAACAAAATATGTTTCTCCTCTATCCCTATATTCAGTCTGTACCCCACCCCATCCCACAAGAAATCTTATCAGAATGCTTTCTTTCTTTCCTTAACAGTCTTGCCTGAAAAGCAATCATTAATTTTGCTTTAAGTTTTCATATTTCTAGTAGCAACTTTAGGCTGGGGAGAAATAACAACTGGGCTAGACTCTTGGATCCTATTAGGAAGCCAATCCAGAGCAAAAGGAATAGAGAAGAAACTCTGAATTGCAAACTCATCAGGAAAGGATTCCTGATTCCAAGCAGGCTTAAGGGAAATGACAATCAGATCTCTCTGGGAAAGGAGCACCTATCAATGACTAGTTTGAGATATGCCGATCTATGCCGCTTAGAGCTCTCAACTGAGGAAGGCTTACAAAGACTGCTTTGTCGATGGAAGGTGGTGCAGTCACAGTATGTTGCCCCATTGCAGTGTGTGTAGTGTCAGCTGCTTTGCGGAGCTGGAATCTTGTTCCCAAGGCGCCACAGTTCGTCAAGGTGATGGTCCGTGAAATTGTCTCTCCCACCACATGAGTGCCAAAGTCAATGAGCTCTTTATCTAGTGCCAGCTGAAAAGAGAGGGAGAGAGGGAGGAAACATAATTACTACTGTCCTAGATAGGCAGTAATGTCAGTTAAATGAACGGCTACCATTTCAAGCACAAGACCTTAAAATCCTTATTGCCGCTTCAAAAGGCAATGTCACAGTGGGATCTTTTCCCCTTGGCTGTTGCATGGAAGCTGCAGCAGATTTATAAATCAATGATTTTTATATTATTTTTTTACAAAAAGAAAAATGAAATCAAATTATAAAGAATGTAAATCATTAAAAAAACACCCATCTAAATACTACAGATTGCACTCAGTGTTCGTCCTACTCAGAGCCAGGATTAAGGCAAGTTTAAGTTCAGCGAGTCTACTCTGAGAAGGACTTACTAGGATACAACCCAACATCTCTCATATACAATTGGGTTAATACTAAATCTTGATAAAAGCACAAGTCAAAGTTTAATCTCTAAATTAAATCAATGCTTCTACTAGGTAAATCAAGTTAGAGGAGGCTTTTCTATGTAAATGAACAACTCACTGAATCATTTATCGAATATGAATATTAACACTCTATCACCCACTGAGGTTACAGGACCCCTCTAGTATGATGAACCCATCCTGCACTAATTACTTCTACATTCCACAACTGTACATTCATACAAATGTTTCTATCCATTTGGTGAGCATAGGACAGAATATTACAGCACCCTCCACGGTACAGTGAAGATAATGCTTTTTTATCAACTTTGTATTTGGATATCAGGTCTGCTACTTGTCCCCAATACTTCATCCTCCGAGCTGCTGCCTCAGTGATACGCCTTCTGGGATGGGGCATTAACTATATTCATAATTCAGCTATTTTAGTATTTAGGCATGTTTGTTGTGCTGCTCAGTTTTGACATTTAGTGACAAATAAGAGATCCAGCTAACCGATTTATTAAGCAATTCATTTCCTGCCAATTTGCTGCTAAGTCAGGGGGCACATTTCTAAACTTGGCAATGCGGATTGCCATGGAGAGCCAGCAAGAAGTGATTCTCGCCCAAGCGTTGAATACTTGTCATGGTTTATTTGATGGGAAAGAAATTATTTATGAAACATCCCTGATAAGGGAAACACACACACACACAAAACACAAAATCCTAAATGCATAAGGAGAGCCCTGCTGGATTATGACAACCCTTTTCTCACAGTGGCCATTTGCTAACATTGTCCTCCGAGATGGCTGTCTAACTGCAAACTCTTGAATAGTCCTGAGGTCCTTCTGTGGTCAGAAAGTAGCACAGAACACATTTACACTGGAACACACATCAGACTGATCCTATCAACTTGAGGCCTTGGGTGCAGTGATGCACTAACAGGCTTGTCTTTGGGACAGAGGCCCACTCAGCAAAACTAGTAGGAAGGCTCAGAATTGAGGCGTGTCTGCGGAAGGAACAAGCAGCAATGCACTACATAGACTCAGCCTAACCTACCTCACAGGGTTGTTACAGAGATTAAAATGGGGTGGAATAGAAACATGTGCACCACTTTGAGCTCCTTGCCCCTTTGCTGGTTTCCCACAATTTGCCTTTGAAGAATTAAAATGCTGCTACCTTGCAATGCCTTGATAGCAAGCACATGTCGTGGAACTAATCATGTCCTTGGTTGTACAAGGAGCTTGTTTAAGCATCTATGTTTAATAAGAGCGACTGTCCTTGATGGAACTGTGCATCCGATGCCTAAAAATAATGCGTTGACGTCTTTTCCCCTCAAATAGCTGCTTGATAAAATTCTTGAAAGGCTCCCAACAATGTATCAGCAATAAATAAATAAACAAACAAACAAAAGGTTCATAAACTTTTATTGTAGGCTGTTGGTTAGATTTCAAGATGCTGTTGTTTTCCACTGCACAGCTAATTTTAGGAACAAATTCTCTGAAGTTGTTGTCTTTGAGTATTATACTCAAGTGCACTTTTAAATGGAACCACCTACATGTGTTTTTGCAGCACTGGCACCTGTAGTCTTAAAAAGAAAAAACACTATAGCAATACATATTATTTAAAATTTAAAACAGAGAACTTCTGTGTGCTTGTTCTCTGCAGTTTTTCTGAGGCTTTCCTCCAAGTGGCGCTATACAAAGCAGGTCCCTTTCAGTAATAGCACCAATTGTGTGGAATGTCAGGTTTTACAACATACTCCTTTCACTGCCAGGTCAAGAGTGGTTTCCCCTGCTCTGAAGGCTTTAAAGTCAATTCTTTTCAGGCCCTTTTCAAGGGAGACGGCTTGAATGTGAGTGGAGGAAAACTCCAGTCGAATGAAGTCAAACACTGGTGAGGACTCATCATCGAGCCAACCTAGTGGCAGTGAAGACAGAAAAGAAGGCATACTTTGCTGCCTCCATTGCATCCTCACTGTGCTGTTCAGCAGAGCTTTTCCAGGTAGTCCGGGTCCTTTTAAAGTCTGGCCCAAAGGAGGTGACAAAACCAACAGTAGTTTGCTGTGACTTGTTTGCTAAGCATTTTGAGGATATAATCAACTGCATCTGCTTGGACCTTGACTCCACTCTTAAAGCAGATAGTCTAGTCATGTTGGATGAAGTTAAACAATACGGCTTGAGGATGCGGACAAGCTGCTTGGATTGGTCAGAGCAACCACTTGTGCTCTGGACCATTGCCCCTCTTGGTTGATAAAACTAGCAGGGAAGGGACAGCCAGATGGATGAGGGAGGTGATACCTGCCTGCTTGAAGGAGGCAGTGGTAAAAGCACTCCTCAGGAAACCCTCCCTGGATTCAGAAAATCTAAGTACCATATTTTTCTGTGTATAGGACTAGGTTTTTTCCTAAAAAATAATGTCAAAAATTAGGGGGCGTCTTATACACGGGGCCATCTCCCCCCATTTTCTTAAATCTGAGTCCCCCCAAACAGGGGGCATCTTATATATGGGAGCCTCTTATAGACGGAAAAATACGGTAATTATCAGCCAATTGCCGGTCTCTCCTTCTTGGGCAAGGTTCTTGAGTCTGATTAGTGAGGGGTTAATGCCATAGAGTAAGCTGTCCTGCCAGGCCTCTGGCATACCTAAAGAGGTATGAGCTGGTTGCTCCAAGCTCTAACAATATGGCTCTAACAAGCCTCTCTTGAGTTCCTGTACCAATAATTTAAGAACTTTCACCACTGTAACTAAGCCAGGTTTTAATGCCTGTGCAACTTTTTCTGATTGCTGTATGGTAAAAGCACATGAATCTGACCTTTGAAGAGTTCATAAGTAGAACATTTTTAAAGCGTGTGACCTTTTCCTATGCTAGTGGAAGAGGGGAACTTTGGTAGGAACTGAGAAGAGCATATTTTAAAGGTCTAACAGCTTACATTTCCATGCTTTCCTATGTTTCATATTTTGTGATTTTAAATATCTGCTGGGGTTTTCTCACCAAAGAGTACTTGCCCCAAACCTGGATCTTGGCATCGAGGAAATTCTCCTTTTATGCTCCCCCCCCCCTTGCCACCAACACTTGCTTCAACAGAGGCGGTGGTGAACTGAGGCCTTCTGAGCTTCTGTCTCCTGTCCGCCTCTCCTATGCTCCACCCTCTTTGTTGGAGAACTAGAGACTCTTAAAGAGCCAAACCTATCAGCTGAAAATGGGCACTTCTCTGTTACTCCATGGTCTCCCACTTGGAACATTCTCCATACCAACAGACTGGTGTGTGTAGGAGTGCCAAGGCTCCTCTCATTGTAGCTATGGAGACAACAGCTGTTCCCGCTTTGGAGTGCTGCTATGCTGACCTGATTAGAGTTGCAAGGCAGCAGCTTACTTAAAGGAAGCTAATAAGGGGAGGGGAGGTGGAGTCAAGCATTCTGGAACGCAAGCCTCAGACTTCAGGAAATCATACCAGGAGACGGTACTGGGCTTGGCAACTGGTGGGCACCCTCAAGACAGAGCAGCCCAAGTGTTCCACTTCATCCCCTCCTGAAGCTGAGCAACAGTGGTGCTCTACAACCCTGTGGTCACCACCAGCTCAGCCACAGCCAGGGCTTGGGACTGGTCAAATTCTTCTTAAGGCCAGATATATCTCCTCCCTCTTAAGTTAGATGAAATCTTGAATTCTTGCACCAAGGAAACAACTTGCTCCAATAAAGCTTAACAGCAGATTCAACCTTTTTAAGACTATGCCCCCACACTACCTTTCCTGGGCTCTGCCCCCCACTTTGTGGATAACTTTAGGTTCTTAGTGGGCCAGCCCTCTGGTTGGAAGATGGGCACCCCTCCTCTGTCCCAAAGCGTCTTGCTTGTTGTGCTTCCTGCACCTCAGGACGGGGTCCTGTGAGGGGACATTCAGCTCCTTGGAGGAAGGTGCCAATGAATGAACTGGCTCTGCCAGTCTTCACTCTGGTTCCGCCTACTGTTGGCTGTCTTCTGCCCTAACAGTACCAGTAGCTACCAACCTTTGCTGCAACTGGATCATGAATTTAAGGTACTTGGAACACCTGTAAATTGCTATACAAAATGTTAAGTGTTGCTTTTACTACTTCAGCATTTTAAAACTGTGCACAACAGGCAAGTCACAAGTGACTTGGGTTGCAGTTCCACAGAAAAGTCATCAAAACATATGCAGAAATTGTGTTTACTCCAGAATAAATGGTGTGTGGATTTGCTGCATTAAAAAGGAGAGAGAATGCAACCAGTTTCCCTTCCTCTACTTGCTAATATATTTACTTTCATTCCTATTTCCTGAAACAGGGCTGTCTCATCCAAAGATTCAAGGATAGTTATTGGACTCACCACACACTTCTTGGTTGAACACTTGAGTGGGATTGAGAAGGAGCCGATCTGAGATAAAAATGTGACTTCTCCTTCAAGATCCTGGTTTATCTAAAAAGGAAACAAAAATTGCTCTTCAGAATCTAGTTATACCTGTCAGTAAATTAAGCATTGCTTTAGACTATTTAAGGAGTTAATAAAAAGTGTGCAACATTTTGTAGGATAACAGCAAGTATTACAGTATTTCCATATATAGCCCTAGCTCTGGAATTAAGGCAGATTCACCCAGCACTATTACTGTGATTTAAAAAAAAAAAAAATCAGTCCTATTTGCATAAGCTTTTAACCATAATTAGTATCAACTGTCCACCAGCCCTTCTTATTGGCAACTGTGCTACTGTTTACTTACACACTGTTTAATCGGGCTGTTTTTTTAATTGCTATTACTTCATACTGTTTTATATCTATTATGCAAGTCAACCTGAAATCAACCTGGAATCCTGAAGGGCTACAGTCATTCAGAGTGGCCAACACTGGGGCAGAAAAATACTCTGCCCTGGGGGGAAAACAGCTTTCTACACTCCTAATTTTTCCTCAGTTCAAGAAGGAAGCATTTCAAAATGTCAGCTCTCTATGACTGGTACAGTTATAAAACAGAATGATGGAATTTCACGGTTTGCAAAAAGCAGATCAACCTTGTGTGACTCTTCACTTAATCCTTTTGCTATCATGAAATTTGCAAATGCCATTTAATCAGGATGACTGCATGGCACGCCTACCATAGGTTTAAAGGTCACCCCTACTTCGCAAGACATTCCAGAAGACATTGGGCCCGGAGGATCAAAGCTGCAGTGGGAAATGAAAGACAGAATTAGATGACCATTTGATTGACTTATTTGTGCTGTTCTTGTAACAGCAGCAAGCAAAATATGTGACTAAAATCATTTTAATCAATCAAGGTTTTTTTGAAATGAATCAGCTGTCATTTTCCAAATTAACTGACAGGTCTTTAAAATTCGCATATATTTTGAAAATTACTGAAACTTCAGTACAGAGGCCTTTCCGAGACCTACTTTAATACATTTGCTCTTTGAGAGATTATTATTCACTATTCAAAGGGAACAACAGGTTTAATGGTTTCTTTTACAATCCTTATTAAAATAAAAGAGAAATAGTCTTAAAAATAAGTTAGGGACAGGTGAATCTGTCCATTTTAGTTTCTCATTTTTCCAATCTCAAATTCAGTTCCCCATATTTCAACACCTGTTTGCATTTATTTTTAAAATTCTCATTAAAATTATCAGTAAATTTTTCCTAATAAAAACATTTTTTCAAAACAACTTTTCCTAATAGAATGCATTTTGCCTGCTATTTTCCCTAATATATACATTTTATGCACACTTTACCCTGGTATGTGCCTTTCTACACACATCACTGGGCTGAAGAACTGCTCTGCAATTTTCAAAAGATGTACATGTTTTACTTCACATCTTGGGTGGTGGTTCTCAATAAAATCCTGGCTACATTCAGATATATTTCTTATCAGTCTCAATCTCATATGCATACCTATCTGGCCATCTGGAAGTCTTATATTAATCTATATGCTTAATTTAAGATTCATGAACAGATGAGTTGATCACTGTTATTCACAATGTGAACTGATGGTGGTCTATTATTAGCAGTATTCTTGATAGTATTTTTATGTATCATTATTATTATGTTTTTTTCTCTTCTCCTTCTTTAATTTTATTTCATCTTTTTCTTTTTTTCTTGTTAAATTTAAATAAACAAATAAGCAAACCAAAAGCGGTAAGCCAAGTACAAACCATGGCTACAAATTATGATTTCTTTGGAACAAAACAAACCATAATCCCTGATTCAAGCATAACGCTAAACCAGGGTTCTTTTTTAAGTTTTTCCTGGGGGTTTTTGAGGCAGGGACACAAAGTGGGCAAAACTAGCTTTATACACCATTAACTATGGGTCACATGCAGTGGTGGTATGCAACATACATTGGACTCTTGATTCTATACATTTCAAGTATTTATCATTATTATTGCCCTGAATTTGATATTTGATAATTGACACACCAGTGTAACAGTGCTGTGCACCTTTAGCATAAGAAGAGAGAGCTCTGTCACATGACACACAACTACTGTAGCTATTTTTAAGCATGCGAAGGTAGAGTTTCATGCTTCCAGGGTGGGGGGGAATAATCCAGCCTGGCAAGCCAATCCCTGATTGGGACTCTTAAAAGGATGACATGAAAGTAAGATGTCAAGTTGCCATTTGATTTACAGCATAATTTCTGAACACTTGGCTAAAACCGGTCACTGTAATAAGCTGCTAATTTACAGCTTTCAACTTGAGATGAGAGTATTAGAGAGCCCGAGTTCAATCCACACAGATCTTTTCTTTCCAAGAGCCACCCCTAGCAGCAAATCTGCTGCAGCATGTAATCTTTGTCGAGAAGAGGATGTAGAGTCGAAAACGCTACCCACGTGCTTGCTTAATATGTGCCGACACAGGAATAAAGTTGTGCTTTCACCATATGAATTTGCAAATCAACATTATGTTCTTAAGTATCAGGTACCAAACGAAATAAATCAAGCTTCATGAATGGTACCCTGTAAAACAGGGATTGGCAACATGCACGCCATGTAGTTGGACTGAAATGCTCATCATTCCTGTTCATTGCTCATACTGGCTGAAATTCATGGTAGTTATAATCCGACCACTTCTGGAGGGTTGTGGGTCCCGCATCCCTGATTAAAATACAATCCTAAACATGTTTGTTCAGAAGTAAATTCTGGGCTTCTTCCATAGAACAATGCAGGTGTCCTGTGTCTCTCCAGGTGTGGCTGGACTCCAACTGCCACCATCCCTGGCCACTGGCCATGCCTGCTGGGAGTTGCAGTTCAGCAACATCTGGGGACCAAAGGTTCCTCACATACAATGACCAGGGACTTGTGGCTCTACAGGTGTTGCTGGACTCTAGCTCCCAGCATATCTGGCCACTGGACATGCTACTAAGGCTGATGGGAGTTGGGTCCCATAACATCTTGGGGAGGAAGGGCCAAAACTTCTTCCATCTCTGTCACAGGAGATGACAAGGGGAAGCTAGGACCCAGGGAACCCACAGACTGTGAGAACCGTTGACCAACCATATGGTGTTGGCCTACCACTCCTGAATCCCATTAGCCTTGACTATTGGCCATGCTGATGAGAGATGTAGTTGGAAGACCAAAGGTTCCCCACTTCTGCAGTAGTGGAAAATCCTGTTTCTTTACTACCATGGTCATTTGCTGCATTGCTGGCCTTCAGAAAAGTTAGCAGTGGCTGAAGCATCCAACAAGGAAGCTGTAAGGTCTAACAAGTGCCACTGCTCATTTTCTTTTCCACCTCCCCTGCACCCCCAGTCCCAGAAGAAGCAAAAATCCAACCAAATGTACTTACTGAACTGTAAAAAAATCCTTGAGGTGTTCACTGACTCCCACCAGCTTGCAGTAGTTAATGCTATAGAAAGCATTGATCAAAATCATCTTCTTTTTATAAGTTTTACCAATGTCAAAGTCCTGGAAAGAATTAAAACATGTGGTATTCTAACACACTAAGAGATTTTGTGGTGGATAGAAACGTCATTGACTGTGATTGGCTGAGCTGCCCTCATATCACACAAGAGTCAGGGCAATCAAAAGGCCATTGGCTGAATTCTATTGAACTTACTTCTGAGTAGGCATGTATAGGATTGTATTGTTGATTATAAATTGTTCTTTAGATTCCAACAAGGATTAATTTGGCAGTGTACTTTTATTTTTAAAAACAATTGTAATACAAAAGCTAACAAAGGGAGGTAGCATGCACCATCTTAGAAGAAGCATTCCCCTTCTTTCACACACAAGGGAACACCCCTTCTAAGACTGCCTACAATGGTGGCTAACTTGTGGCCCTCCAGGTGCTGTTGGACTCTAAGTGCCATGAGCTCTAGCCAGCATAGGCAATGGTCAAGGATGATAGAAGAGGTGGTTCAACAATACCTAGAAGGCCACAGGTTCACTATAATAATAATAATATCTTTATTGTCATTGCCCCCTTCGGGGACAACGAAATTACTATCTTTGTGTTATAGTGCAAACCTGTGAATATTTATTTAAATAAAGTCCCATAGTAATCAATAGTGCTTACTCCCAGGTATGGAATTGTAGCCGTAATTCATAGTTCCATCAAACAGGGACATTCTGCAATTGATTAATCTACGAAATACATCAATTACAAGCAACCTAATTGGCTAAAAAAGAACAGTTAGGCTCAAGATCTATTTAAAATTTATTTTTAAATATATGAACAGCCATAGGTCAGGGTGGAGGAACCTATGACTTTCCAGGTGTTGTTGGATTGCAATTCCCACCAGCATGGCCAATACGCAGGGATCATGGGATATGTAGTCCAGCAACATCTGGAGAGGCATATGCTCCCTATCTTTGGAATGAACCTAAAAAAGAATGCACAATATGTTGTAAGTGTCTTAAATATCTTTGAGTCAATCTGTTGCATACCTTTTGAAATATCAGAGCCTTATGTTTCCCCTTTCTTTAAGTACGATGCTGTGTGTGTGTGTGTGTGTGTGTGTGTGTGTGTGTATGTATGTGTGTATGTATATGTGTGTGTATATATATATATATATATATATATATATATATATATATATATATATAGACATTGCTCCACACAAATAAAGAAATATGCATGCAGCATGGAAAGCTATTCCTATGTGATATTGATTAATCAGCTAAGATTTCTTAGATGAATAGATGAAGAATTGGAGAGTAAGTACAGTCCAGTTGTTGCAGTGCTGGACTAAATCACCCACTCAACCATGATGCTTCTTGTTTGACCATGGGTCAGTGTCTCACTTTCTCTCCCCCTGCCTTCAGTCTCACCTACCTCAAAGGGTTGTTGCAGGGATAAAATGGACTGTGTACACTGCTCTGAGATCAATGGAGGAAGGGTGGGATGGAAACATAATCATCATCATTTTCTATTCTTTCCAGAGCTGAAAACTCAAAGTTGTTTATTTTTTAAAAAAACACAAAAAAACCCCACCCCAGGCCCTGATCTATCCCCCACCCCCACGGAAACCCCATACTAACCTTAAAGTGAATGAGGCTTGGCTTGCTATAGAAAGGACACCCCCTAAATTCAAGTCCACAGACTTTATGTTTGCGAATAATTCCACTATGCAGCTTCTCCAAGTTTTGAGAAAATATCTCCTTTTCCAGTTTAGATGCACCAACAGGTTTGGAGTCTAAACCGACATCTGGCATCTGAACAGTGTGAAACCATAGCGGACAGGAGATATATGATTAGGTTATTTAAAAAATGGGAATATTTCCCCCCCTTTTTTTCTTTTTTGCTAAGTCTATTCATTATTTGCAGGGCTTTAGTTAACAGTTGCAGAGAGGCCCACAGCACTGGGAAGAGAAGGTTAAACTCATTCCCTAAAGTTGCTAATTGTCCCATTGGGTGAAACATACAGGAGCCCAGCCTCTCGCCCACTCCAGCTTCAAATACCATGATTGTAAACTGAGAAAATGATGTGGAAAGCATTAGGAATTCAAATTGTGAGAAGAATTTCTGTCATTTTTTTTTTTTAATTAAATGTGACAAATCTTCCTGGCTGATCTTCTGGATCACATAATGGCCTTGCTTGCACACCAGAGTACAGCATAGAAACAAAACTACAATCCCTGGTTCAGACATACCACTAGGGGCAGAATTCAACAGTGTACCCTTCTGATTGAACCATCAATGAAACCATGAAGAGGAACAATTCCCCTCCTCCCCTGTAGCCTTTTTGGGGTTACTACAACCTCTCCATCATGGAGGGGGGCACAGGGGGGATCCCTGTTGCACAAGCAAAAGCCGTTGCATGAGCTTCTGCTGATAGTACTCATTAGCTAAATACCGTCCTAAGTCAGGGATTGTGATATGTTCCATCCATACACTACTGAGGAGACACATTTTCAAAAGGCCCTATCATTGTAAACCACTATAAACTATGGTTTGCCACAATGTGCAAACTGGGCCAGAGTTTGGCCCACAGTTGTCTCCCAAAAGCCACTGGAGAACAGAACACAAAGGATCTTGGCAACAGAGTGAAACAGAGGTTTCCACTTTGTGAATGTACATTATTCATTTGTCTTCCAAGCCTTTAACACTGCTGCAGTGCTCTAAAGAGTTGCTCTGTTGTTTCAAGCGCAGGGTGAAAAGGGATTTCTTTTTTCCACATGAAATCATCTCCATCACCAACTCAACAGAATGTCATGTTCAGTCGCAACAGTCAAACAAGCCAGCAAACATGAAGTGATATGTGTCTTCACAAATCTCTGAGGCAAGACTAAGCCAGATATCTCGCCCCCCCCCCCCCAGTTAGGAGAAGAAACGCTTTTGAAAATAGTCCCAGACTTCAGCTCCTTTAAAATCCTAACAAGAGTTTTGGCAAACCAAACGCTTCTCCAAGAACTGAGGCGAGGGGGAGCCAGTTTGAAAATGGCATGAGAGAAGCATCAATCCCATAATATTAGGAAGCTGAAAATCATTGATATACTGGTCCTTTGGGATTGCCAGCTTCACAGAGATGTAAGGAGACACAATTTCTGTCCTGCTCCATTCAATTAAACTATGGTTTAATGCAACCTGCAAATGGGTCATATCCACACCATACGCTTTAAAAGGCTATCTAATCTCTACTTCCTGAAGCAATAAGCAAACTGAAACACAATCATTCTTTGAGATTCACAGTTCTCTGAATTTTGCAATGCCGTTCTCCAGCAAAGTAATAAGCAGAAAAATGCTTATACTAGGATAAATTGTGCAAACAAAATAACATACAAAAATGCATTATATTAGGGAAAATTGTTTTGCAAAAATCAGTACATTAGGCAAAATTGAGGTGTGGGTTATAGCCAATGCCAGTCCTACTTAGAGTAGACCTGTTAAAGTTAATAGACACAGCTGATTAAAGTTTGCTAATTTCAATGAGTTTACTCTGAGTAGAACTTAGTTAGGAAAATGCACACAAAAATGCTGATAAATTCTTACAAAAACTTTAAAAAATGCAAACTGATATGGAAATGTGGAGAACTGAAAGTAAAAATGCGAAACTGAGAGAAACCAAAATTGACAAATTCTCCCATCTCTAGCAGTGGGTGGGGTCTCTCACAACAACAGGATAAGACTCTTCAAGGACTGATAGGGCACCCACACCCACCCACATCAAAGGAGTAACCTATCTTAGCAGAACCTCTTCTGCTGAAGGAGATCTAGTGTGGTCCTACCAAATAAATAAACAAAAAAGTAAGTAAAGCATGAAGAACCTGGGGCACACTGCACTCTTGGTTCCAAATTCCCGTAAACTCTGGCTTTGCTAGTGTCTCATCCCGGGTGTTCCCATCTTCTTCCTCCTCCTCCTCCTCTCGGTATTTGGTTTCTGCAATCATCTCTTGAGATGTTCCCATAAGTAAGTTTCTGTCATCAAGTGAGGCGCAAGGTGAAGGAGAACGCCAATGTTTCTATTGCAATACAAAAACACGAGTGACTGCCTGGCTACCCTGGTGAAACAGACTAAACACCTTGAAACTTTTACTGATTAAAATTACATAAGAGGAAAATGCTGGAGATACATTTTATTTTATATGTTGGCAAATGATCTAGAAGTCTTGACAATATTACAAAACAACATATCATGCTTTTCAAAGCACGAGCAGCCCAAACTAGTCCAGGAGTCTGGCTTTCCACAGTGAGCAATTAGAAGCTTCCAGGAAACTCAGACTATGGGCACTAAGGCAATAGCACCCCTGCATCAAATTGCATTTGGTGAAATAGTATCACCAAACCAGGAAGTTCTCCTTAGCTATTAATTCCAATAGCCAGCCATTTATACACCTTTTATTAACTTGTCTAATTTGACTATGGTTGCCATGCGTTCAGAATTTCTTGGACATAGCCAGAATAATGCAGTCAGAAGCAGTGTCCAGAGGAAATCGCTGAACTGTCCAGGAAAATCCAGACGTATTGCAACCAATGCCGGTAGTCTTGATTAATTGATTAATTGATTTTGGCGTGTTTTATTAAAAATAGTTCAAAAACTTCATTTTTAAAAATAGATTTTGCAAATAAAGCTCAACCAACAACTTTGGGCTGGGAGAGATTCTGCTTGAAATCCTGGAGTGCTGCTTCCAGTCAGTGTAGACAATACTGAGCTAGGCGGACCAATGAGTCTGACTTGATAAAGCAGCATCTGATGTTCCTAATCACACTGTTAACATCACATGTAGTTAGATGCCAAGACCCAAGCTAGATTATGCATTCCCTAGGGTTTGTTTTTCTTCTAGAAATAGTGAGTGGTGGGAGGGATCTTGGATCAGGATTGTGGTGTATAAGAAGGAGGGTGATCCTTCCCCCTCCTCCTATCATTTATCTCCAAAGGTGTCATTGCAACAAATGGAAATTTAAGGGGCAAACAGCAGTTCTGAAGAGTTGATTTTTAGGGTGGAAACAGTGGAGGTCACAGTCCCAATCTATAAGGTCTGTTCTTCCCTACCAAGACATAGCTGCTGTTTCTAAAATTAAAACAGATCCTGCATTCTTTACAATCTGGATCTAAACTAGTGGCCATCAGCAACACACCTTACGTCAGTGAATTCCTAAATGGATTCATATTTATTAATTATTAACTTTCTATCGAGCCCTTCCTCCCAAAGGAGCCCAAGTGGCAATATCACTGAACCAGGAGCCCTACAGGTCTGGTACTATTTACCTACCCCTCTCCAAACCAAAGGGACGCGGGTGGCGCTGTGGGTTAAACCATAGAGCCTAGGACTTGCCGATCAGAAGGACGGTATTTCGAATCCCCGCCAAAGGGTGAGCTCCCGTTCCTCGGTCCCTGCTCCTGCCAAGCTAGCAGTTCGAAAGCACATCAAAGTGCAAGTAGATAAATAGGTACCGCTCTGGCGGGAAGGTAAACGGCGTTTCCGTGCACTGCTCTGGTTCGCCAGAAGCAGCTTAGTAATGCTGGCCACATGACCCAGAAGCTGTACGCCAGCTCCCTAGGCCAATAAAGCGAGATGAGCGCTGCAACCCCAGAGTCGTCTGCGACTGGACCTAACGGTCAGGGGTCCCTTTACCTTTATCCCGACAAAGGAAGGAACTCCAGGCATTTCAAGCTAGGACAGCCATACCACTGATTTATCAGCCCTTAAAGACAGAAGTGGGAAACCTTAGGCCTGGTGTGGGGAGTGAATGCCGCCCTCCAGGTTTGTCTGTCTGACCCTCAGAACTCTCCACAGACCACAGCCCTCATTGGCCCTTGTTGAGCACCTCAAATGTTTGCCTGGCTGGAGAACCCAGACAATGCCTACCGCTTGTCTGAAAGGAGGATAAAGAAGTGATTTTTTTCCTGTAGAAACTAGATTAATGTATAAAGGTAAAAAATTGCATTTGTTGCTCTACCCCCTTTCACCTCTAGCCCTGCCCACCACTGGCATCAGGCCCTCGGAAAGTTGACCTGAAGTGAATGTGGCCCTTGCGCTGAAAAAACTTCCCCACCTTAGTTTCAAAGGCTAGCTACACTTCTGTTTACCTGTGGAACAGTGGGCACTGCATCATCACATGCTTTCTTGATGTACTGCCATGTTTTCATGCGCCATTTTACAGCGTCAGAAAGCTTATCCTGGCTCTTCAGGGTCTGTGGGCACGACTGCTTCTTCACTTTCTCCATCTGAGCATCTTCTTTCAAAATCTGACTGACAATCTCAATTTTCCTTGCTTTCTGCTGTTCCACAAATTCCCTGTATTGAAAGCAAAGATGCGCAAACTAAGAGACCTAATGAACCGTCAGATGGCTTCATCTTCACCTAAACAGCTGGAATGTTATTATAATTTGAGGGGGAAAAGAATATAGAATAGAAAAAAAGAATGGGCATACAGTGCTGCAAGCATTCTCTTTGCATAGGCAAGGTATTCCCTTTCAAGGCTTTTGTATAGTTTGTGCCAGCTAAGTAAACCTGTGTTATCTAGTACCTGTTAGCTACTAGAATTTGTGTCAATGCCCCACCTTCTCAAAAACTATTCTGCAGTTTGCATCTAGCCAGTGAAAGAGACAGAAGCTCCAGATGGTTAGCAAGAAGGTGTCAGGGAAGTCTTCAAGGATTTGCTACTGGGGTGGCTTGTGGGTGGAAGAAGCAGTAGCTTTACATCTGGCTACCTGCCTGCTCCCACTTTAGAGTCTCTATGCTGCTGTAGGAGCATTGATTATATGCCTCTACTTAGTTATGATGTTAAAAAAATACACAGAAAAAAGTTGTGTGTATATCACTTATGCAAAGTTTCCCCATAAAAATAAGCATTTCTAATTTAGAAGATATATTAGACATTATCCAGGAGAAGGTTAAAAATATAACGGATGGCCATCTGTCATGGATGCTTTAGCTGAGATTCCTGCATTGCGGGGGTTGGTCTAGATGAACCTCAGGGTCCCTTTCAAATCAACAATTTTCTGTTTCTATGATAAGAATAGCCTGTTGGATCAGACCAAAGGCCCATCTGATCCAACATCCTGTTCCCACAGCGGCCAACCAGATGATGTTGGGTAACCTGCAAGCAGGATTCAAGAACAAGACCACTCTCCTCTCCTGTGGTTTACAACCAACCACTTTTCAGAATAATCACTGCCTCCAGCTGTATCACGGCTAGTAGGTATTGATAGCCCTATCCTATGAATGTGTCTAATCCTCTTTTCAAGCCATCCAACTTGTCCTGCGCAGGGGGATGAAATTATCAGGAGCCATGTAAGAACATTAAATGAGTTCTTTGCTTCAATGGGACTCATGCAAAATGACCTTTTAGAGCTTGAGGGAGCACTGTAGAGCAGGGGTCAGCAAACTTTTTCAGCAGGGGGCCAGTCCACCGTTCCTCAGACCTTGTGGGGGGCCGGACTATATTTTTTTGGGGGGGGGATAAATGAATTCCTATGCCCCACAAATAACACAGAGATGCATTTTAAATAAAAGGACACATTCTACTCATTTAAGAACACACTGATTCCCAGACTGTCCGTGGGCTGGATTTAGACGGCGATTGGGCCAGATCCGGCCCCTGGGCCTTAGTTTGCCTACCCATGCTGTACAGCATCTAGTCCAACTCCCTGCCCAATACATCAAGCCCATAGTTAGATCAGCTCCAACAGATACCTATCTAACTTCACCTTGATAAACTCCACTGTTGTGACTTGCTCTTCCCTGGTACCAGACACTGAGTCCTCAGAGGACGAAACAGTTGAGGACCTTGAGGGTCAAGCCAGGTCTCCTTCAGTCAGTGCCAAGGATCCTGTTGAGGAGCCCTGTGGATTGACATGTGCTGAAGGACCCTTGAAGCCACCGCTCTGTCCTTGAGCCCAGGCTGCAGAGCAACAACGCAACTGTGTCTACAGACCCAAAGTCATCACACACCTCATGAGTAAGGGGTCTGGTTGTGCGTAAACAAACCCTGGAACTCATCTACTATCAGCAGCTGGGATTAGGGTGTGGTCTAGCATCTGTAGCCAAGTTATGAGAGTAGGGACAAGAATCACATACTGTATGTCACATTGGACTCATTAGAGGAGAGTAAGGTAAACAAATTTTGGGGTGACAATCTTGTGTGTTTTTACAGGTAGCATTATGCAGCCTAAGATGACTCTCAGAGAATCCCTAGAAAGTCAGCACCTAATAATATAAATGACTTAATGCACAATGCCAATGCCTTCCTTTCTTTTTTTTGATAGACCCAGCAAGCAAAGCATAAAAACCTTCATCTAATCTTTGTCTTTAGTGATGCAATGCCTCCCACACCTTTCCAGAGTTAGATATTATATAAACCAGTGTTCACTTGGTAGTTTCCTCTAAGTTTGAGACTTCATATCTTCATTGCAAGAGACACAAATAGTTTCCTGTTCCTTTTTTAAAAGTACTACCATTCCCCCTCCCCCCAAAAAAGTGGCAGCTCACTTCTTCCGCTTCTCAAACTCCACCTGTCTTTTATAGAGAAAAGCCTCCCGGGTGACATTGTGTCCTTGGGCCTCGATAGTTTCCTTCATCTTCTGCTCTTGCTCTTGAGCATCAAGAAAGTTGGCTTTGTTCTGAGCCTGGTGAGTTCGGAGCTTTTCCTACATATTGGTGCAGGGGAGGGGTTAGATTCATTTGTGCACAGTTCCACAAGAAAGAAACTTAAGATAAATTTGCAGAGTACTACATATTTAAACATGCCAGACAAAGGGACATCAACCCACAACTAAAGACCCTTAGGCCAAGAGGGCCTTTGGCATAGGGCTGAAGTTTGCCCTAATGGCCCCTGTTATCAAGGAGGCACCCTGCCTGTCGAAACCAACTGAAGACACATTGATTTCAACACAAAGTTAAAACTGGTTTCAAAAAGTGTGATCCATTTCCAATCTAACCAAGGTGCCAGTGAGCTTCCACTGGACAGGTTGCAAGCATTCCAGCTTTTCAAATGCTCTCCACCTTCCATATAATAGCAACACTGGTGGTCGCTAGAAGGGAGATTGTAATTATTACATATATATCCTTCCTTTCCTTCACATTGAAGCAATACACATAATCTGCACACACTTGTACTGTAGGTTAGGCTAAGACACAGCAGCTGGCCCCAAGTCATCAACTGAGCTTCATGGTTGATCTGAATCCTAGCCCAACACTTTAACCACTGTGTAGTCAAGAGGGTGCTAAAAGAGACTCCTCAGTTGGGAAAGCTGGTCTACCCAAGGACTCCAAGGCATGCTTAGAAAAATCAAAGAACTTCAAAATAAAGCTAATACCCGATTGGAAGAGATGTTGTTCTTCAGGGACAACACAGTTTCCATCCTCTTTTGCATATATTCCTGGTTTTTCTGTTCCTGGTTTGCTTCTTTGTCACGGATCCTATTGGAGGAGCAAATCCAGTCAAGTTCATGACTGCATCTATCATTCCCAGCGTTGTTATTGAAAACTTAAAATTTTAATGAAGTGCAAATGGCAAACCTTCCCAAACTTTTCTTCAGAAACCTGACTGCTTTTTCATGGTTCCTCTGAGCATCTTCCAATGCTTTGGAAAGACGGTGATCATAATCATCCCTGGCTTTCTGTATTTTTCTATAGAGAAGCAAAACACAGATTTAAAAACAAAATAACATTGTATGCCTGGCTTATATTCTTGAGTTAGTAGGACCATGGCTGGTGTTAGGGGTTGGTTTTTGTGGGCACCTGCCAAGGTCCACAATCCAGAAGGGGCCTTTTACTAATCCTAGCCCTGCTACTCCTCTTCATTGCTGCTGCTGTCTGTTTTCTTGCCCTCTACAAGCAGAGAGAGGAGCCAGAAGGAGCACTAACCTTTGCCCAATTCGCCTTCCCTCCCAGGAGGCTGCTGCTACTGAAACTCAGAGGAAGAGGCAAGTTAATGGATGGCAGCAGCATCAACAGCAGTAAGGAGCTGCCGCCCACTAAAAACATGTTACCCAAGAACCACCACACAAAAAAGCTGGATCCAGCAGTGACAGGAACTTCAGAAGTTAACTGAGTTTGCTGTCAGGCTAGTGATCTGGAAGCAAGCAGGTCCCATTCAGGTGGACAGTCCAACCAGGAAAAAGGTGGGCTGTATAAAGCGGGTATGTGAAAGTGAAGAAGGGGCAGGCATTAGTTTGGGTCCTGCCTTCTGGAACAACAAGAAACAAACTTTGTTCCATCATCACATATTTCAAGGATGATCTCATATTTTATAATGATTTATCAGTACACAAGTATGCATCACTAAGGGGAAGAGATATGAAGGAGCTGGAGAAATGGACAGCTACATTGCAGTATACTGGGGCAAGAACACTAGGAAAGAAAAACCAACAGAAGGTTCCTACTGCATTGGTTGCAACTTGAGAACTAGGACAGGTAATTTAGAACTCCAAAATCCAGGGAGAAATATGGATGGGGAGACTTTGGGAAACAACTCCAGAGTGGCCCCTGCACTGGTACCTTCCACATATTGTTGGGAATAAAACCTCCATCAGTTCCAACCAGCATGACCAATGGTCAAGGGTTTAGTCCTGGGGCAGGGAACCTTTTCAGGTTGAAGGCCACATTCCCTTCTGGGTGACCTTCCAAGAACCACATGCCAGTGGAGCAATGACTGTAAAATTTACCTCTATACAGTAGGCATGTTTCTATACACACCTCTCTCTATCCTCCTTCCAAGCAAGCAAGCAAGAGGTGCTATCAGAGTTTAAGGGCACATTCCAGCCAGGCAAAAGCACTCAAGGGGGATGCAAAGCATGGCCACTGCGGGGTGTGGTCTGAGAAGAAGGGATATGGCTTTGGGGAGAGTTCCTGAGTTTGATAAAGAACAAGTAGGGACATATTTGCCCCCTAGGCCCAAGGTTCCCACTCCAAGTTTAGCCTAGCAGCATCTGGAGGGGCTGGCCTTAAGTTGAGGAAGACTGCAGCACACACCTCACTTACCTCTCCATGGCCAACCACCTCTGGTTTAGCTGCAAAGTTCGGTTCTTCTGGTTCTGGAGGCGTTCTGCTGCTTGCATTTGGTTCTGCTGGTCCAAATATTCCTCATCCTGTTTGATCTGGTTACGGAGCTCGGAAAAATTGCCCTGCTCAATTTCAATCTTCCACATCTCGAGTCTTATAAAAACAGACAAAGGAAGAACAAGCAATAATTAAGGACGTCTGCTGACTTGACCGCTGAGCAATTTGCTAGCACTTTGTGGATGGGAACCATCCTGCATTTCCCCCCCAAACTGACCACAGCTTACAGTAACACACCAAATCAAGTGAAAGCTTGCTAAGTCACAGATTAAAAATATTTGACAGTGGAAAATAAAATGAAACATTACACTATAGAAACACCATGAAAGTAAAACTCACTTTTCAGCTACTGAACAGAGAAACCACCTTCAGCTCATTAGCCAGAATTTTCCCTCCCAAACACCCACACAACAGCCCAATAAGGATGCATCATGCTCAATGAGAACAGAATGCTTACTAGCTATTCAGAGCTTAAAAACCAAACATCAAGTGGGCAGGAGTACGGAATGGAATATCCGTAGACCAGACATGACTAGCTACTTTGAACCCTGAATAGGAGCACTTGATACAGCAAATTTTTTTCATAGTTGCCCCTTGATTCTCATCATTACAAAACTTAGGTTATTTTGGTTTCATCATGTGATAAATGTTTTATGCTACAATTCTATACACACTTATCCAAGAGTAAGTCTCTAGAGACTTAGTGGGTTGTATCTAACCAAGTCCTATTATGAGTAGACCTACTAAAACTAATAGATTGCAGTTGGTTATGTCGCCTAGCGCCATTGGGTCTACTCTAAGTAGGACTACCATTGGCTAAATATAACCCAAAGGCAACGCCTAAAAAATAATCACATGTGGTCCTTTGCATACCAAATACTAAAACCCTCAATTTCATCCAATCCTTTGAATTAGCTTGGGCCAGCTGAGGCCACTTTTGACAGCCGTTTTTTAAAAAATATTTTTTAAAAATGCAAATGCCACTCATCACACTACTAAAAAAAGTGCCATGGAAGGTTTCTCCCCCGTTTCTTAAGCTTTTTATATAATTCAGCTGCAGGAGTCAGGCTGCTCTCTGGTTAATCAGCTGCTCAAGCTCTGCCATAAGCCCTTCATCCTGGACTCGCTTTGATGTGGCTGCAGCAGTGGTGTGACCTCCGAGACAAAAATAAAAAGGATTGGGTTTTTCTCCCCTCAAAAGACAAATACCTTGTATTTCCGTAAAGCATGATTTCAAACATGCAAGGCATCAGTTAAGAGCATGCAGTGCTGACTATTATGCCAGCTCAAACATAAATTGCTGAACTAGCCATTATTTTGACAATTCAGCCCCCCAAACACTCCTCTCTCATCCTAGTCCAACACTCTTAACCAGAATACCACACTGCCTCTTCTCCCCTTTCAGGCAATTTCTATCTCAAGTGTGAAAAGGAAGAATTGACTTTCCTCCTTCTGTTGCAAAAGGAGAAGCAGGCCAAACCAGTGCAGCCTGGCAGAGCTCCATCAAAACATCATAGAAAGTTTGAGGAAGAAGTAGGTTAAACAAACATCTGTTGGGAATCGTTTAGATAGAAATGGTCCTCTTTCGGGGCATGGGATGACCCCATTAAGCTCCCTTCCTGCTCCAAATGTCTTTAATACTCACAGTTGCTTTCATTTGGTTCAGCTTGTGTATCAAAGTTTCATTTACAAAGCAGTTAATTGTATGGGTGCAAGAGAAAATAACTAGCGCTTTATCTACAAATATGTATGTTGAACACTTAAATTATCCAAAGAATCATTTAGTAACCTAAATCAAAGCTGCATTTTTAAAATACATGATTTCTTTTTGCAAGTTTATTCTGGATTGCATTGAGGACACAAACGACAACACAAGATTCAGGAGATGGGGCACTTTCTGCTTCCACCCTGCCCCCTCACATTCTTGCTGCGGAGAGGGGCAGGAAGGAAGGACCAGAAGATTTACCCAGTGCATGACAGCTGGAAAGAATCAACATCATGTGAAAAAAAATTTCTAGGCATCTCAGTTTTACCCATGATGCCACAAGACCAAACAAATAAATAAAACTGCTTCCACAATGCAATTCAAACTTTCTTTAAGAGGGTTGTTGTCTTTTCACATTTTCCTTCCATCCAAGCATTAGGCCTTAACACATTTGCATATTTATTGATTAATTCCTCCACTTTAAAAAAACCAAAAAACATTAAGTAGGTTTTTCTGGACTCAGGGCTAAATTGCTAGGTTGCATTAATAGAAAACCATAATGATCAATCCTGCCTCTGTCTCTTTTGTGCTCTTTAAACTTACAGGCTTTCGTTCAGCATTGCAGTAATTTTTGACTCAAGGTCCTTTTCATTTCCCAGTTCAACACACACACGTCGATGCATTGCCTGTAGGCGGAACACGGCAGCACTATTACATTAAAGGGAAAAAGAGAGAGAAAGAGAAAAGAAGAAAAATGGAAATAATGAATGTTAAAACCTGGCACATAAAAAAGAGAAACAATTATGGTGCCTTGAGGGGTAAAGGCTTATGTTTTCAAAATTCTGCCAGTTTATATTAACAGAATGTCTTTCAATTACGTCCCTAAAGTGTCCATTCCCCATTCAATCTCCTTAAAAACATCTACACAATGTGAATGACAATAACCATGGACAGCATTTTTGCAGACCTTACAGTCCATTTTAAACTGGTTTGCGAGTAAAAAAAGAAAAAGGAACAGAAAACATATTACAACATTTTGTAACTAATATATTTTAAAACACAGGAGATTGGTTTATCAGGTGTGAACAAGCCCAGGGGCATCTTACCCATAGACGTTAGTGGCGCGGGGTGCCGGGGTGCCAGATTTTGGAGGGCGCCACAGGCTGAGTGTCCGGGAAGGAGAGTCAGGGCGCGCTCCCTTCCCCGCTCTGGGGCAGCCCGCTCCTCTCCTCTCAGCTGCCCATTGGAGCATGCTGCGTCCAGCTCAGGGAAGCCCCTTTTTGTCCCCTACTGCTGGGGCTGCCTGGGCGGTGCAATCGGAGGTGGGGGTGGGGCGGGGGTGCCTCTCCCGCCCCTCTCTGGCCGCATCGCTGCCTGCCGCCTCCCTGCGGAGTCTGCGAGCAGAGCAGGGAAGCACCCTGTGCAATCCTGGCACTGAGCAAGGATGGGACAGCCGGTGAGCCACCTGATCTGCTTGCTGGCCCTCCTATCGCACGGACTTCTCCAGACGGGGGGAGGTAAGGGGCACTGGGTGCTTAGAGGGAGGCTTCGCAGGAGGGCGTGGGAGGCCATCTGGGCTGCAATCAGACCCCCCTTAAAAAAGGTCGACAACTCTGAGAGACGGGGGGCAGGGACGCCGGAGAGATAGTTGCACCACGGTGCCAGATATGCTTAAGACGGCCCTGAACAAGGCCACATTAACTGTCCAGGACTCGCACCAGTAGCAGACATCACTGGGCACCTGCAGAGGCCCCTGTTTCCCTGCTAATTTCCCCTGCTCCTGGTGTTCTTCCTTCTTGCTACTTCTGCCTTTCATCTGCCCTCTGTGAGTAAGCTGGCAGAAAGAGGAGCAAGGGAGAATGGTTACATCTGCCTGCCTTGTCCTCATCCTCTGAAAAATGGTGCCAACCAGGTCTACAAGGAGACTCAAGCTGTTGGTTGGAGGAGTCACGTACAGGCCATCCCAGCTGGGTGTTTGCCATTGCAGCCCATGATTCCCCTCACGTGGGATGTCAGGCGATGCTGAAGGACCAATTGGGCATGGTGGAGAAATTTAAGCACATAGATCTCCTGACTTCACTCCAGCTAGCCGACTCATCACTGGGGATGAGTCACATACTCCTCGCCGTGTACCTGCAAACTTCTAGTTTACAGTCTAGCTATGAATGGCTTTAAAAGAGGAATAAACAAATTGATGGAGGTCAAGACTACCAATTGCTTTTAGCCACAATAGCTATGTTCTGTCTCCACCATGGGAAGGCAAACTAAGGCCCAGGGGCCGGATCCATCTCAATCACCTTCTAAATCCGGCCCACGGAAGGTCCTGGAATCAGCGTGTTTTTACATGAGTAGAATGTGTGCTTTTATTTAAAATGCATCTCTGGGTTATTTGTGGGGCATAGGAATTCCTTCATATTTTTTTCCCAGAATATAGTCTGGCCCCCCACAAGGTCTGAGGGACAGTGGACCGACCCCCTGCTGAAAAAGTTTGCTGACCCCTGGTCTCCACAATTGGAGGCAGTGTGCCTTTGAATGCCTGTTGCTGGAAAGTGAAAGTGGAGAGAGTGCACTTGGGTCATTCTTGAACACCTAGTTTCTTAAACAAGTACCACAGATCAGAAAGTATCATTGTGTGAAGAACTGAGACCAACTAGAAAGAATTGACAAGTATGAGCCTAACAACAAGCAAGTCAGCCTTTTGTGCTTTGGCTAGCATTGAAATAACCATTTGGAAAATCTGATTTGATGTCTGCTTTTATGATGAAGCATCCTCCAAATGTGCATTTTTTTTCTGAGCTGAAAACATTTGCAGAGATCACTACAATGTGTGGACTACTCCAGTTATCGGGCATCTGTACTAACTCTACAGCATAGATAGGAGCCTGTTATCCCTGATGACTGGGGCTGATGGGAGCTGGAGTCCATCAACATCTGGAGAGCCACAGCTTCCTCCAATCCCTGCTCTGCAGCAACTTTTTAGAATCCTTAACTGTAGAATTTAGTAGATGGAAAGAACATGAAGTCAAGTGCAGTTCATAATTTTAACAGAAGAAGAGTGTCATCAAAAGGTTAAGGAGAACAAAACAAACAAGGACTTCACATAACCACGGTGCTGTTTAGCATAGGAGGGGGAGCCATAAGTTTCAAGAAATAATTGGAATTCCTTCAGGATTATACTATTCTATCTCAGAACAAAATTATGATTATAACTTTGCATTTGGTTAATGAATCAGAAGCCCATCCTGCTGCTAAACACATTTGTGTGCCTTATTATTGCTTTCTCCTCAGTGAACAAAGCCATTAGAAATTACTGTCAAATTTAAATTAGTCCCATGAGCAAAGGGTTGGTAGCAGTACAGTGCCATCTTGCCCTATCCTCCTTAACAATCTGATATCATGATGGTATGAAACCATGAAAAGGGAATATTTTGCTTGATTTCATTTCACCTTTGTACCTAGTGGTTGTCTTTAATGCACAGTAGACCAACCGAAGTTATTGAGCATGACTAACTTCGTTCCACTGACTTCAATAGGTCTACTCTGAGTGGAACTACAACCCAAAACTCTCTAAAATAAGGTCTTACAAACTTTTATGTACTTCACCTAGCTTGCCCCTAACAATAATACTTAAGATTTGCATAGCACTTCTAGTGTTCTGAGAGCTTCAGATACGTTATCTAATGGCAGTTTTGACAGCAACCCTGCAAGGCAGGGATGGGAAACCTGTGATCATCCAAATGCTGTTGGACTACAATACCCAACATCCTAACCAGTGGCCACACAGGTTGGGGCTGAGGGGACTTTGGGTCTAACATGCTCCCCGATTCTGCTGTAAGGTTAAGTCAGTTCTATTTTGCAGATGCGGGGACTGAGGGAGCCTTGCTTAAAGCCCTCAAGTAAGTTCAGGGCAGAAAAAAATTCTGCAGATCCAGAATAAAACTGGAGACCTCCTGCTTTGTTGCTGAAATGTCATACACATCATACATTTAAGTCACATTAAAAACCCAGCCCACACACACACAAGGGAAGGGCTATTGGTTTGTTTCCATTATGCATTTTGGGTTCTCATTTTGTATTTTTATTTTGTGAACCACCCTGTGATCTTCAGATGAAAGGAGGTCTACAACAACAACAAGGAATCATGGGAGCTGTACTTTTACCCCTCACATAGCTACAATTCCAAGCATCCTTAACAAACTACAGTTTCCAGGATTCTTTGGTGGAAGCGAAGTGCTTTAAATGTATGTGTATGTGCAGCCTTACCCTCTATGCCAGGCTTCCTCAAACTCAGCCCTCCAGATGTTTTTTGGCCTACAATTCCCATGATCCCTAGCCAGCAGGACCAGTGGTCAGGGATGATGGGAATTGTAGTCTCAAAACATCTGGTGGGCCGGTTGAGGAAGCCTGCTCTATGCTATATCAATTCATGAGAAACAAAGCATTTCCATTATGAGGAGACAGAAGGCTTAACTTGAGCGTGATTCCCCTGTGCATCCCCCCTCCCACAATCACCTCGTCTTGTGTGATAAGATCAAATGATCTTTGATCATTTTCTTTCTTCACTGCATGGTTCAGCCACAAAGAAAGTTCAGTAATCTGCTATTAGGTGCCTTGCATGTGTGAACAATTTCCCGACTGTAATCTTACCTCCTCCTTGGATGTGGAGAAGAAAAAGATCAAGCATTTCCAAAGCTGCAACATGCACCTAACTCTGCTGAGTAGTAGGCACCCACTGGGTATGAACAGTGTGTGACATACAGAGAGATTGCATCAGCTGTAATATTAACAGGGTAAGGAGGTAAAATAATAACTTGCTGACATAATTATGGGAAATGGGATGTATGAAGGGGGGGTGGGGGGAAGTCAAGGACCAAAGTTAAGAAAGTAAGATTTTTGAAATTATACATGTTTTTTTTTGTTTTTGTCTTTTACGTGTGTGTTATGTCTTTATAAAATGTGAAAAACCAATTAAAAAATTATAATAAAAAAAAAAAAAAAGAGATTGCATCAGCAAGGAGGAGGCAAAGTGCTCCATCTGCTTCCCAGCACACAACAAAAGGTTAATGTTTCCTACCGCACACTGTGGTCCTCAGAGATAACTGCATTTGTGTTTATCAAACATTTTAATCACTGACTCATTAAGAACCATTCAACAAAGAGAATCAGGAGAGGTGGCGGATGGGGACTATCAAGCACTTCCAGCAACAGCAAGAGACCAGAGAGAGTAATCAAAGTTCAGAATGAGCCACGTGAACACTGAAAAGGGTAGCAATCTATGACATGCAGGTACAGCTACGTACCTGTTCCCAGCCTCCTTCTCTCTCTCAATTTCGCTCTCTACAACCCTTTGTTGGTTTGTTAGGCTGTCGATATGGGAATGACAGGCATCCAGTTCCTCCCTGAAAATAAGCAGGCACAAATCACTGGGGGCAGGGAGGGGGGTCTTCCTAAATCTCAGACCCTTCTCTTTCTTTGACATTTCTGGCAACTAAGCTGCATATTTCAGCACAGAATTAAGAGTCAAATATCCATCTGTGTACAAATTAATGATTATAAATACTGTATATTTTAATACTGTAATTTAAAAAAAACCAAGAATACCAGGTTATATCCAATGTTAGCCCTACTCAAAGTGGACCCACTGAAATTAATTGACTAACTTCAATCTATTAATTTTAATGGGTGTACTTCAAATAGGACTTAGTTGTTTACAACAGATGTTCATCAATTCCAGTGGCTCTACTCTGAGTAAGATTTAGTTGGCTACAATCCATAGCAATACTTAGGGTAGTGTTCAACTTATTCTGAGTAGAACCTCAAGAATTATTGAAGATGACTGAAGGCTTATCCACACTTCCTCTTGTCCCGCTGCTTTCACCTGGGGAAAACCACTCTTTAGTACTCAATCAGAGCAAATGGAATTCATGTTTTCTCCGAACTGAGATTTCCTCCAATTTAGCACTGAAGAGCAAGTTTTCCCTGGGAAAGGAACAGGGCAGGGGGGAAACCACTCAGGCCAGTGCCTAGAAAGTGTCAAATGGAAAACCACTTGGACACTTGCTTTCTAGGCACAGAACTAGCAGAAGTGTGGACTAGCCCTAAGTTAGGTCCAGTAATTTCAATGGGTATACTATGAGTAAAATATAGCTAATACCATCCTTAGTATTTATTTTTTACAAAAAGAATTTCTAAACCACTTTTCATTTATAAATAAATTCTGAAGCAGTATATAAAAATAATATAGTGACAAAAAACATAATAAAACATTAATTTATGTTTATGGGCTTCTTTGAAAGGGTGATCAGGATATAAACAAAATAAATAAATAAATAAATAAATAAATAAATACAGTGAAACAGTAAAAACCTCACAATTACAGAAGCAGGTTCATCAAAAGCCAGCATCAATGGCTGAGAAATTTATATGTATTTATTTAAAATCAATGATACAGATGTTGAGGGTTGGAGAGGTGGGTGCTTGCTTAGGGCAGCTGAGTGAGTTCATGGGAAGGGAGAGATTTGAACTGAGTTTGTAGCCAAGAGCTTACCTGTGCCCTTAACCACATAAAATGCCATAAATTTCTGAAGAGGGAGACAGCAGCAATCTGCGTTAGGGCTCTAGCATGAGGGGTAGGGAGGCGTAAACCCTTTTGGACAGTGTGCAATTTGCGCTGCAAAATAACCTCTAATTCAAGGGGAGCTCTTTCCCCCAGCCCTCCATGCAAATTGCAGGTTTGTGTCCATGATCCCAATCAAGACCATAGCAGGGGGCAGGCAATAGGATTGTCAGAGAATTCTGATGAAAACAAAAAAATGAGGTGGAAATTGCTGCAATTCACATGTTTGTTCACACCCTTCTTGATTTTTTAAGTCCTCAAATGATCCATAATCAATGACTATTTTTTAAAAAGTTGTTTGGACATTTCCTTTACATTGAAATGAATGTAAGTTACTTAAATAGCTCCATAATCTATGTTAAACAGTGAACAGTGAGACAAGTCTTGAAATATTTGGCAGAAAGTGAGCTGCAGTGAAACAGAAACAGCACTAATTATGATGAATACAGATCAGAGCAGAAATTACTGCCTTCTTATGCCAATAGAAACATTAAAGACCCCTTACCCACCATGCTAGGATCCCAGAATGCTAGCAATCTGCATATAAAGCACACCCCTGCACTTAAGGGCACTGACACATAGCTAACTATTGCCTAGCTCAGCCCCCAGTCGCTTGACACTATATTATGCTACTCAGTTCCTCCATTTCCTCCCCTGCCTGCTTACTCCTACTTCCAGGAACCCAAGGGTATTTTAAGCAAGAACATTTTCTTTAAAATAATGGCAGCAGACAGACCCTTTCAGCATAATGAGAAATCAAGTCTTTAAGCACAGTCTAAACCCTAAAAACAACTTTTACTCCATACATTGTGGAAACAGCGGGAAATGCTTATGTGTGTGTAGTGGGGAGGGTGGATGGAGAGCTGACCTGGTTTTCCTAATAATCATCTCCTTTTCCTTGGCTAGATTGTCAAGTTGGTTCAGGTTCCTGCGCAAGTTGAGAACACGAACTCTGTCTGCGTAGTTCATTGTTTTTTTTATTCTCTGTGTCTTCGGTTGTTCTGAGCCTTCCCTGCTTGGTTGGCTGGGTGTGGGGAGAGAATAGATTTCCATAGATCTTAAGATCAAAAAGCCATTAAAAAAACAGAGGCCTTATAGGCCTTATAAATTTACTTGGTTTACTTATATATTTAATTAACATCTTAGAATTATTTCTGTTCCACCTCTTTGCCCCTACAAGGTGTCAAAGATGGAGACAAGCAACAAGAAGAAAGTTGTCATGTTTCTGCTTCTCTTGAGGGCTTTCTGTTTGGTATAGTGTCACCCAGCACTGAAGACAGGGATGCTGCATGAAATCAGGTTGAGGATTTCCTGTGCCTCTCCCTAGATCAAGGGTGGGGGCTGACGGCATCCCTCCCTGTATCTCCATCTGGCCCTCAGCATTCTGCCCAAGTCACTCTCCTCAGTGGCCCTGATTTATTTACCTGGCTGGAACATAAGTGTGAAAATACTTACTGGAGAATGGGAGAGTGCTGTGTGTCTATCTGCACCCACATCTCTCACACCCACCACTGGCATGTGGCCTATGGAAGGTTGCCCAAGAGGAAATGTGGCCCTTTGGCAAGAAAAAAAAATCCCTACTCCCACTGTAGAACTGTTGGATTAGAACTTCCAACATGCTAGTGCTCATGGGGGTTGGAGTTCAACCAGATATGGAGGGTCAGTGGTTCCCCATCCCTAAAAGAGACCTTCATCTAATCAAGGGACACAAGATACTGCCTTATATCAAGTCAAACCAATGGTGCATCTAGCTGTGTACTGTCTACCCTGACTGGCAGTGGCTTTCCAGGGTTTCAGGCAGGGAGCATCCTCTGTTCTACCTGGAGATACCAGGGACTGAACCAGGGACCTTCTGTATGCAAAGCAGATGTTCCACCACTGAGCTATGGCCGTTCCCCAAGCAAGAACATTATGTTCTTATGGGTACTCTCTCTGAATTCTGAAGTGAAAAGAGTATCTTCTCATGCCAATGCACTCACCCAATAGAATCCAAATGCTCTCCTTTCTCTCCTTCCTCTTCACCTCCTTCCAAAGCATCGTTACTGTCTGTGCGGGCCTCCTCCTCATAATCGTCTTCAAGTTCAGGTCCTGATGGAAAGGAAGGAAACTTTTGCTCTTTGCGACTTCGATACCCTTCCTTGACAAGTCGACACAAGACAAGAGGCCGCACAGATGACAAGCTAAAAGCTTTACTACTGTGTATAATGGGGGGGATCTTGTCACAAAATATATACAAAGACAATTTTATACTCAGGGACTTAACACAGGCAAATGCACTCCACCTTGGCGACAGAGCTGTCACAAGCCATCTTTCCTAAGTGCTGCACAAAAGAACTCTGTAATAGCCAAATGGGAAAATGGAATTTACAGTTCAATGACAGGCTGTAGCAGACAGCAGAGGAAAACGCATTTGTTTGAGCATTCTGTTCATACATCTCCACCATTTCCATAAGCTCCACATCTATGCTCCGTTGCTATCAGGAGAGGTAATGAAGGTCCTGAGTCAGTGCCTGGAGGTGGTAATTGACGGGGTTGCTACCCTGGGCTCCTTTCAGAAGGAATGGCAGGAAATAAATTGAACCCATAAATATGGACCCATAAATTGAAGCTGAATCCAAACAAAGTGAAGCTTCTGTGCTCCCCAGGTCCAGGATTGGTTGGGACAGACTGTTCTGGACAGAGTGGTAGCACACCTTGAAGGACATGAGGACATAAGAGACTGCTGGATTAGGCCAATAACCCATCTAGTCCAACATCCTGCTCTCACACTGGCCAACTAGATGCCTGTAGGAAAACCACAAGCAGGATAAGAACACAAGAGGACTCTCCCCTCTTACAGTTTCCAGCAACTGGTATTCAGAAGCATTGCTGCCTGGTAGGTAGTTTGGGAGTACTCCTGGAACTATCACTGTCACTTGAAGCCCAGGTGTTTATGCCCAGTGTCAGGTGATGTATTAACTAGAGCCTTTTCTGCACAGGAATAGCTGGCTACAGTTATCCACACTTTAGTAACCACCAGGAAAGACTACTGTAACACACTTTATGTCGGGCTGACCTTGAAGGAAATACAGAATTCGCACCTAGTGCAGAATGCAGCAGCCAGGGTGTTGACGGGGAAAGTCACATATACCGGTAATCCCTATTTTCAGACAGCTGCAACATTGCCTCTCTGATGGGCAGACCTTACCTAGGATAATTTGTTTTTAAGATTAAGCAACTGTTGGGACAACTTCAATGCTACCAATCAGAACTCCATGCTTGCTGTTGAGCCTGTATTGTTAGTAACCTGAATAAAATTATCTTCTTTTCAAGTCAGAGCTGCTGTAGTTGCAAAGCTCTGATGTCCCAGAGTATGGCTCATAGACAGAGTAGAAGGTTTGCTCTTATGAGGACACTGATGTCTCTAAGATAGGGGCAGACCACTGCTTTGTTACCTATCTACCATTCCCTGATGTTCCTCTTTCTCAGCTCATTGCCTATGTGTTTCGTGCTTCCTTCAGCTGCTTTGCTTGTGGGCTTCATGATACTTGGCTTTCTCACCACTCTGCGCCACAAAGCTAATCCTCCCCCTATGACCTGTGTGCATTTTTAATTAGCAATGTGCTAAAGGTTTCCTTTTGTTTATTTAAATACAAAAAGGGGAGCTATGGGAAGAGCATGAAAAACACACTTTTCTCTAGCATTTGCCTTTTTTTTTTGCCTAGGCTTCTTCTTTCCCAAGTGATCCTGACTATTCAGGGATCATATAAGGAATCTGCCAATGCCACAGCATCACACCCGTGGTTTAAATTAGCAAGGGGTGAGGAAATTTCCTGACTGCCAAGGCAACTGAGCTGTGCAATCCTGGGTTTCTTGGCACCAGAGACACAATTTGTCCCTATTCTCCAGAAAAGTGAGTACAGACACCCCCTGATTTGCTTGAGGGTTGCTTTCCGGGTCATCACATGCAACAGCAGATCATGCAAAAGCCTGCTCTGACCCCATTCTGTCCCCTTTTCCAGCCATTTCCGGGTCACTGCAATGCACATGCACGGACATGGTGAAAATTGTACTTCTAAGGAGACACAATTTTTTTCTGAAACTCATTCTCACCCTCCCACTTTCAGCTCAACTCTAAATTTCTGACCGAACTGGCGGCTCCCTTCCCCCAATGAATCTATACTTCAAGTATTCTTGCAGTGTCCTTCCCTGAGCAATTGTAATGTTCACAAATATTCCATGTCCTCACACTCAGCTTGACCAATTGGTGTCAGAAGCCTCACAAGTGCAGTAAAATATACACCATCATTTTATATATGAACCTTTCCAGCTTTCCTCCTCTTGCACAAGTTGGTCAGATATCATCTCATCTTCTTCATTATCTTCGTTCTCTTCATTCTCTTCAGGCCTGAGGTTCTCTTCTGAAATGCCAGTGGATTCCATGTCATTTATTTGGTCCATCTTTTTCCTTTCAAACAGAGCTTAGCTGCCAAAGAAAACAAGAAATGTTAGAGCGAAAACTGTTTTCAACCAAAACAAAGCATGTAATTTAAAACAAATAGTACTAAATAAATGTCTTCCTGTTCTGCGGCCAAAATACTATAGGTCCAATATTTAAAAAGATTATATCCAACTAAGTTACTCTAGGCCTATGCTGGTCATACTATTTAACTTCTGTGTGTCTACTTTGAGTACATAGGAAACTGCGATAGACCATTGGTCTACCTAGCTCTGGTTGGCAGTGACTCTCTAGAGCCCTACTTGGAGATGCCTAAAAGGACATGGGTGGCACTGTAGTCTAAAGCACTGAGCTGATTGGGCTTGTTGATCGGAAGGTCAGCAGTTTGAATTTGTGCAATGGGGTGAATTCTCATTGCTCTATCCCAGCTTCTGCCAACCTAGCAGTTCAAAAGCATACCGGTGCAAGTAGATAAATAGGTACTGCTGTGGCCGGAAGGCAAACAGCGTTTCTGTGTGCTCTAGCACTTGTCATGGTCCTCTGTGCACCAGTAGCAGTTGATTCCTGCTGACCACATGACCTGGAAAGCTGTCGGCAGACAAACACTGGCTCCCTCAGCCTGAAAATTGAGATGAACGCCACATCCCATAGTCACCTTTGACTAGACTTAACCATCCAGGGGTCCTTTACCTACCTACCTGTAGGTAAAGGTAGATGCAAAGGATTGAATCCAGGACCTTCTGCATGCAAGGCAGATGCTTTACCAATGAGTTTGGCCCTTCCCCTAATCATCCAATGGTAGGATTAGCATTGGATACAACCCTTGATGTTTTCCTTAGAAATTATATGAAAAGTGGTGTGTGTGTTTTTTAAAACAAACCAGCCAAAATTAATTTTGTTCTTAGCCCTGTATTTGACTGTAAGCTGAATCAATGCAGGTCTTATCTGGCAACTCTTGAGAAGAAGTCTGCTCCCTAACAAATTTAGGAGAATTTTTAAAAATTCTGGTAAAAACTCTGTATATTATTATTATTATTATTGGACAAGTATGAGAACACCTGTCGCTTTTCAATGTGCTGAACATTTTGTACCATTCGTCCTTTCTTCTTCGTTTTTATGCTCATTATTTTTTGTATTGGCTTATGACTGAAGAAAAGAAATTAATCTGAATCAAAGCTTTTATTATGTAAAAATCATTATCTAAGCCATCAGTTCATTATCTAAACCTGGAGTCAGTAACTCATGAAAAAACATTATTGGAAGCTTCACATGGAGTGTTTGCTCTCAAAGCATAAACTTCCCCTTCTTTCCAGCAAACAGGTATATGTAGGTCACCTCCAGACTGTATTTTGAGGGATTCACATGCATACCAAAAACATAAGGGTGTGCATGTGGATTATAGCACCCTGCCACCCTAGCACAACAAATCTTTCTTGGGCTTGATTTCAAAAACAGAGAAACTGAAGACCAGGGGTGGGAGGCTCAGTCAAGACTGGGACAATGGCCATCCCACCCACGCCATTTTCCTGCTAAATTTCACCCCTCAAATCTGTCATTTCTTTATTTAAACAATTTTATACCCTGCTTTTCATAGCTGAAAAACTTCCCAGAACCATTTACAAAAAAACAGTAGAAAGACAGCCCCTGGTTCATGGCTTACAGTCTAAAAGGCAGGACACACAAGGAAAAAGGGAGCATAGGGGGAAAGTCAGCTCAGACACGAGTACTTAAAGATACCTTCAAATGTGCATTTGGAGCAAGATCACCACAAAATCAAGTACAGGAGACGAAGGGAAAGACCCACTCATCATATTATGTGTACCCTTCACCCTAGAAATGTAATTTTCTTTTTTGTTTTTTCATAAAGAAAAAGATAATGAGGTAAACCTATAGCCTATTCCAGCCCAACCCTAGGAAAACAAAAATTCTAGTACTGGTGGGCTTGATCTGGAAGCAAAGGCCAGCTGTTTTAACTAGACCCAGAGGCGAAACCTAGCACAAAAGCTATCTACTCTTCTGGAGGTCCACAATCTTTGGGGTCTGTGATGTAATAAATAAAAACATAACAATGCTGTATTATCAGAGGTTGACGCAAGAGTGTATACTTAAAATAACGTTTTAGCATAGCCCACCTTCCTATTAAAATGCTCAAAGCTGCTGAAATAAAACTGGGGTGCTTAAAAACAACCCAAGGTTGTAGCCAACTAAGTTTTATTCAGAGTAGGCTCACTGAAATATGTGGGCTGTATCCAACGCTAGTCCTACTCAGAGTAGACACAGTGACATTAATGAGCATGGCCAACTTATGTCCACTACGAGCAATGAGTCTACTCTTGAGTAGGACTTTTTGTTCGATACAACCCCCATGTCTCTAAGTTAGTCGTCGCCATTCATTTCAAGGGGTCTACTCTGAGCAGGACGAGCACTGGGTACAACCTTCCAACAGTTTTAATTGTTTACACCTGTAGCAGCTGCAGAATATCAACTTTCCTTCATCCCCTGTTGGATTTATCGCTGTTGAGTAAAATTGTTATCAGCGCAAGTGACTTAAGATTGACTGATAAGTGTAGCAAAGCAATCTGTACTAACTTTGGACGTCTTTTACATCTAAAACGGCGCCGCAGTGGAAACTTCCCCCACCCTTCAATCTCTCCCCTTTCCGCTATTGGTATCGCCCAACCGCCTCGAGTTTTAAATGAACTTGCCCCAAAGGAAGGACGCAAAAGGGAACACGACTGCCTTACCTCCGGAGCGCTTTCCACTCGTCAAGTTTGGGGTGGCTTCTAAGGCAACGGAGCGAACCAAGTTATAAAAAAGGGGGTGGGAGATCATAGTTTTGCTTTTATATTATTATTAAAAGGGGAGAAATATGGCGCTTTCCCGCACGTCCTCTAACGGAAAATACTTTTCTTTTTTTGGGGCCATTGGTAAAGAACTGAGGCAAAGGCGGGTGGGCGTTGATGTCCCCTGCCTCGACTTGAGGGGATGGTACATCCCAACAGCACCTAGGCTGGCTAGGTGAGAGCTCTGTCACCTTTTAAAGCTTGCGCAGAAGGGCAGCTTTTTAAAAAAGCTGTTGAGGGGACAGCAGGAGAAGTGGCGTCTGACCTAATGGTGCCCCCCTTGCCCACAAACTTCTGTTTTAAATCTTAAAAACTCAGGAGCCTAATTCTTTCCTCTTCGCTTTCTAGACATCATGTTTCTTGGGAAAACACGAATTACAAACGTATACTCGCCGAAGCCAAGCGCTCGCGCACACACACTTATTACCTCAGCTGCCTCAATGCTGGCAAAATGGGAACCGATCAAAACTCAACGCCCAGTGAAAACATTGATAGCATTACAATCAAGCCTAACAATTGAAACATCTTTCTAATAATAATAATAATAATAATAATAATAATAGTTAATAACATTACAAGTTCAGGTCAAAGGAACAGGGATAGCTCAGTCAGCTGTAGAGCATGAGACTCGTAATCTCAGGGTCATGGGTCCAAGCCCTGCTGGGCAAAAAGATTCCAGCTTTCCAGGGGTTGGACTAGATGATCCTAGGGGGTCCCCTTCAACTCTACAATTCTATGAATTGTATGAATGCTTGATTTTTCAGCAGGAGAACAGACTCCCACAAGAGTCTCCTTCCTTGGAGGTTTTTAAGCATAGGCCATCTGTCATGTAGGACCTTGTTGAGATTCCTGCATTGCAAGGGGGTTGAACTAGATTACTCTCATAGTCCCTTCTAATGCTATGATTCTATGAACACGGGTGCCACCCGTGGGGAAAAAGTCCCACTACGCGTTCCCACCAGCCACCAGGCTGTGGCAAAACTAACTGGGCTCTGTTAGTGTCCTTACTGGGCAGTGAAGAGAAATCTTTTTTTTACCAGTAACCTGGTCCAGAGTTAGGCTGTGAGGGTGTGACTGGCCCGAGGACATCTACTGAAATTCTTCATGAGGATTTGAGCCTGGTTCTTCCAGATTGATTAATTAATTATTGGTTAATTAACCACTACACTAGTGATGGAAACCATTTTTTGCCCAAGGACCACATTCCCTGCTGGGCCACCTCTGCGGTGGACAGGGGACAGAGCAACAACAATGATTTTTTTACCTCATATGTAGTAGGGTAGTTTCTACCCACACCTTTCTGTACAAGGAAGCATGATCAGAGGTCCAGGACATATTCTAGTCAAGCAAAGACACTCAAGAGGATTGTAGAGCAGGGCCAGGGAGGGGTGTAGCCTATAGAGAGTCCTGAGGGCCAGTTAGTGAGATCTGAAGGGCCACATTTGGACCCTAGGCCTGCAAGATGACAGCTATTCACCTACACTAGTAGTCAGTACCAGGCTGCTTGCAAGATCAGAACCATAACTTCGAATTGCACCCGAAGACAAACTGGAAGCCAGTGGAGATATTTTAAACCTGGCAAAATATGTTCAATGTGGCAGGTCCCTTCCAGATCACCACTTAATCTCCGGGTACGTTTTCCTGAACTAAACTGACACTGCTCAGTGACTGAGTTTGCCAACTGGCTGTGAATAAAAAACAGTCTGCCAACTGACAGGAAAAACAATTGATTTCAAAAATAATCAGCTAAATCCTTATTTAGAGTTCTCCAGTTTTCCTGTATATACATATCTCCAAGCCGGCCCTTTCTGGCTCCTTTTCTCTCTGTTCTTTTTTAAGAATTGGCAGATAGAACATAAATTCTTATAAAATGAAATCTACTGCTACATCTGAGCGACAACTTCTCTGTTGCCATTTTTAATTTGTATTTCATCTTCCCAATGCCCTCCCCCATAAAGGCTACTGTTGTAGAAATAGCATGTATAGCTATTTTCCCTCTTTCCTATACTGAGCTATAGGTTGCATCCAGCTAAGGCCCCATTGCACTGTATATTGAAAGCAGTATCATACCACTTTAAACAGTCAACAGCTTCCCCCCTGGGAACTGTAGTTTGTTAAGGATGCTGAGAGTTGTTAGAAGACTGCAGTTCACCTCACAGAGCTACACTGAGCCAGTGTGGTATAGTGCTTAGTGTCGGACTAGAACAGGGGAAGGATTCAAATCCTGACTTAGCCATGAAGCCATGAAGCTCACTGGATGACCTTGGGCCAGTCACAGCCTCTTAATCTATCCTAACTCACAGGGGATTAAGATAAAGAGGGGGGAGAAAACTACATGCAACCCTTGAGCATCTTTGGGAAAAGGGGGGCTATAAATGCAATAAACATAAACATAATATTTCTATAATGGTTAACAATCAATTCCTGTTCCCAAGAAGTTCTGGGAATTGTAGGTCTGTGAGTGGAATAGGGGTCTCCTAAATAGATATCTATGCAGAAGCACTGGAGGAGGAACAGGGGTGCGGGGGGAGCGCACCGCCCCTAGCAGCACGATCCCAGTGGGGTGCCATCACAGCTCCCCCCCCCCCGGGTGGTGCGCCATGCCCCCAGGACACACACCATGCCCCTGGGACACGCACCAGCCATGCCCATGCCTGCTCTCCCCCACCCACCAGAGCTTGAAGCTCTGCCACCTGCAGAAGTAAGTCCCACAGAGTTCAATGTGACTTTACTCCCAGTGTGTGTACACAGGATGGCACAGAAAATGCAAGCTGTGGGGTCATCCATTGTATTCTCCCTATAACATTTGTTTTAATTTGTGTAAGCTGCCTTGATTCCCGGTTTTCGGAGGAAAGGCAGGATATAGATTATTATTATTGTTCACAAACACAAAAGCACAGCTGAGAATCATCAACGTAGCCATTTCCAAACCCCAAACTAATTCTCTAGCTGTTCCAAAAATTCCAGCATGAGTTTTGTATGGTGATTAATCAACTACAGTACTTTCTGTTGACCCAGCTCTGTTCAGCTGGCTTAGGGACAAGATAGCAACGGAGGTGCCATTTCAGAATTGAGTGTGGGAAGGATGGAAAGATTAACACAGCTAGATTTGCAAACACCCACTCTTGGACATATTCAACCGTACATTTGATGTCTTATATTACCAATAAAATAAATGGGGAGGGTTTGTTCTGAAACATTTTAACACGTTTTCCATGAACGACATACAATTAAAAATAGATTAGCAGTACTGAGATGAGCACTATTATTTTCACTAAGATATGCATTTTTACGCACCCTTTCCCCTCATATACTGTACATACTGTTGTGCAAATTTCAAAGGATGGCTCTGTTTTCAGTATGCATATGATTTTGGAAAGGGTAAATTAGGGCAAATTTATCCTGCATCCCCACTTGTAATAAAACAGACTCTCCCCTGCCTGGTGAAATGCTAATGATAAACAAGTAAACAACCTGACATGAGGACAGGGAAATTTAAAGAGTCTGTAGTTCTATTGTTGGAATTTAAGGGTAATAGATTTCCCATGAGCTTTAAAAGTGTGTAGGAACTATTAAAAGCAATTCTGGGGCTGGGGTGGAGAGAAAATAATTGAAACTCTATCAAGGTTGTTTTCTGCCTCCCGAGACAAGGTGCATAATGTTTGTAGATTACAAGCAATTGTAACTGGAGTAGCTCAGTCTTAGCGTGACCATGTGCGCATCACCGGAATATAGGACGATGCCTTATATCAAGGATGCATTCATCCATACATATGTTTTCTCTCCTGAAATTGCAAACCACACTGGAACACTTAATACTACGCCTAATGTGTCTCTTTTGTAAGAAATTAGTGAAGAAGAAGAAGAAGAAGAAGAAGAAGAAGAAGAAGACATCAAGCTTTCTTCTTTTTAAGGCCCTGTTTTCTGCTCTGGGTCTCCTAACTCCCTGGACCACACTCCATAGCAATATAAAGTTTTCAAGACAATTTTGCCCTGTTGCACAGTGAATGGCAAAGGAAGTTGTCCTCTGCTATTATTACCCAGCCCGGGGGCAAAAAAAGATGACATGACTCTTTATTGCACCCCCTCCTTTCTGGCAGTGATGGGAATTTTTAGCTTATATGAGTAGCTGTCACCTTGGAAACGCAGGAAAGGAAAAGCGAACCTATATCCATAAACAGCAATACCGTATATATCACACAGAAGGAGTGCCCTGTACTTTATTGTATTTCATTCCAGTGTATATCTATCATGTGGTGTTTTTAAATTTTTAAGTGTGCTTGAGATCTTTATCACACTCAGAACAGCCCTGTGAGGTAGGCCAATTTGATTATCTGTCTTACAGAGAGGGAAATTTTATGTTAGCTCCACTTCTCCCCACTTCTCTTTCTCTCTCTCTTAAGAAAAGACCTTTATTGTCATTTTTTCATAAGAAATGTGTTACAAATGTATGCAAATGCTGAATACAGCAGGAGCGATGATACTAAAACATAAGAAGATGAAAAATAAGAGAAGGGGTGGGGAAATTAGGATATAACAAAATGTGCAATGCAGCTTAATAGAATTGTATATAGAGAAAGAGTTAATTTAGTTTTCTAGCTTTCTACATGTTTACCTGGAAAACCAGAATTTAGAGGCTGTTCCTCTGAATTAACCCAAGGAAAGAACTTGTGCCATGGCTAATGAAACAAAGGCACCTTGAATTTGTCCCAGTAGCAAACAGGCGACCAGTGCAGATTTCCAGCTTGAATCCAGATTTGTCACCAGGTGCCTCCTCTGTGGGCAAAGGCTCACCAGCGGAAGGTGGTGTATAGTAGGCAAAATTGCATACAAAGATGTGTAGATCAAAAAAACCCCCAAAGATCATGGCCACTGGTCCCATCACCTCCTGGCAAATAGAAGGGGAAGAAATGGAGGCAGTGAGAGATTTTACTTTCTTGGGCTCCATGATCACTGCAGATGGTGACAGCAGCCATGAAATTGAAAGACGCCTGCTTCTTGGGAGTAAAGCAATGACAAACCTAGACAGCATCTTAAAAAGTAGAGACATCACCTTGCCAACAAAGGTCCGTATAGTAAAAGCTATGGTTTTCCCAGTAGTGATGTATGGAAGTGAAAGCTGGACCATAAAGAAGGCTGATCGCTGAAGAATTGATGCTTTTGAATTATGGTGCTGGAGGAGACTCTTGAGAGTCCCATGGACTGCAAGAAGATCAAACCTATCCATTCTTAAGGAAATCAGCCCTGAGTGCTCACTGGAAGGACAGATCGTGAAGCTGAGACTCCAATACTTTGGCCACCTCATGAGAAGTGAAGACTCCCTGGAAAAGACCCTGATGTTGGGAAAGATGGAGGGCACAAGGAGAAGGGGACGACAGAGGACAAGATGGTTGGATAGTGTTCTCGAAGCTACCAGCATGAGTTTCACCAAACTGCGGGAGACAGTGGAAGACAGAAGTGCCTGGTGTGCTCTGGTCCATGGGATCATGAAGAGTCATACACGACTAAACGACTAAACAACAACAACATGCGTAGATTAAGAGAAATCTGCACAAAGATGCTGAAAATTTTTCATGAGGACTTTAAATAAAAAAAATACCAAACTGATGTGGAAATGTGGAGAACTGAGCTTAAGACAAAAACAGGGAACTCAAGAGTATTAGAAAT